AGGCTGTAGGCTCCCGAGGCGGTATATGAGGTGCTGCTTCTCCAGTTTCCAGGTGGAGTCGTTGTGACACTCGAGGAGGCCCAGGATGGACATGTCACGGTGGGCGGGGGGGTTTTTTAGTGGAGTTGAAATGGTTCGTGACTGGAAGGTATTGTCATTTGTCACAAACAGAGCGCAGGTGCTCTACAAAGCGGTCTTTGAGCCTCCACTTGGTCTCACCAATGTAGAGGAGACCACATCGGGAGCAGCGGATGCAATAGACCACATTGACGGATGTGCAGGTGAACCTCTGTCTGATGTGGAAGGTTTGTTTGGTGCCTTGGATGGAGGTGAGGGGGGGTTGTAGGGGCAGGTGTAGCACTTCCTGCGGTTGCAGGGGTTAGTGGGGCTGGTGGGGAGGGTGGAGCGGATGAGGGAGTCGTGGAGAAAGCGTTCCCTTGAAAGGCAGATGGGGTGGGGAGGGAAATATATCTTTGGTTGTGGAGTTGGATTGTATGTGGCGGTTCAACAGACTTGTCCCTGGGATTGAGAAACTGTCCTACGAGGATAAAGATTGGACATACTGGCTTGTATTCAATACTTTAGAGTTTTGGAGAATGAGATGTGATCACATTGAAATCTTGAAACAAATTACTTAAAAAGGATAGGCTGGGGAGATGCAGGAAACGTTTCTCCACGTTGGGGAATCTAGAACCAGGGGGCACAATTCAGACATAACATGGATGCCATTCAAGTTTGATATGAGGAGTATTTGTTTACTTAGAGGGTTGTGAATCTTTGGAATTCTCTACCACTGACGGCTGTGAAGGCTCAATCTTTAAATGTCTTTCAGGTAGAGATTGATAGATTTAATTCCCTGTAGCGTACAGGATTATGGGGATAGAGTGGGTAAAGGGTAAAGTATTCGATCACCTATGATCATATAAAATGCTACAGCAGGCTCGGTGGACTGAATAGCCGATTCCCATTTACAATGTTCATAACTGAAATACATCATCCCTGGAAACATTCATGTAAGTCTTTCCTGCATTATCTCCAATATTCTTTTATCGTTCCTAAAGTGTAGCACCCAGAGCTGGATGTAATATTCCAGCAGTACATGATCAAGTGTTGGATACAACTTTAACATATTCCACAAGAGAGTCATACTGGACAGCACTGAGCAATGTAATCACATCTTTATTGTTTGTTATCTCGTGAAATCAATTCTGTCCTTACCACCTCCAGGGCATTCCTTTTCTCTAGCTTCCATGCTCACCTGAATCAATATGATTCTCCCTCCCTTTTCTCCCTAAACATTGCTAAAAAGGGACAAGAGTTGAAGCTTTTCATCTTGCACTGATCTGAACTAGGACACAAAAAACAGAGATGCAAAAAAGAAAGATGATTTTTGCAGCAGGGGAAGAGGGTGCTGACCGATTGGACCGTCATTGGGCATGGAGATGAAACAAAAACAGTTAATTATGGTCAGTCTGAATTCTCAGACTAGGTAGGTAGATTCTGATTGGTCAGATTGTTGCTGTGGGGGATGCAACAGAGATTGGTTTCTCCACAGCCCCTGACTTTGAAAAGGTGTAATGAATGTACCGATTCTTTTAAATAGGGTTCCATGTATTTATATATATATATCCATATCTATATAATATTTTACATACACGACACTTAGAATGTGCAACTGCCTTGCTCTACAAGCCCAAATGATGATTTTAAACCCGTTGCTTATGTAGCTCTTATCACAGTCCAGATTCTTTAATAAATGATGCCCAATATTAGAATTACACTGATTGGTGGAAACATTGTTCTGTGGCTTGCAAGTACAGGCTAATTGAGCACAAGTGACCAGCTGCCCATTGTGAATGGCCAATGGGACGTGTTGTTTGATACAGTCCCCAGTCATTGGGATGTATATACACCTACATACCTGGCATCACTCCAGCATCATATTGCCACTTGCCAATCTGAACCTGTAACTCAGCAATCTGATTTTCTATACTCCATCCATTCATATCAATACACAGCAATCCTGATTTAGACATTGGTACTTTCACTGCTACTCTGTCCCCAACAATTATTTTACAATTTCCTATTTTAATACTGTTTATTTATCTCACTATTCTGTGCAGCTTGGTATTATAGCAAACTCTGATATTTTTGCTTCCTTACCACATCCTTGCCAAGTTAGTTTACACCCTTCCCAATAGCACACGTCAATGCCTGTAAGGAACTTAATCGCAGATCTGATTGCAACATGGACCTGACCCTGGCTCCCCAGGTATCCCCTCACTCTCGCCAATATTCAGACCACATATTTAGTAATCATTGTATTCAGTATCACAACATGCTGACTTTAACAATATATATATAGTGCAGATCCTTCATTGTTGCCAAGTCAAAATGTTGTAACTTCCTCCCTAACAGCACTGCAAGGCATAATGAGACGAATGTACTCAGTGGGACAAGAGGGAGGCTCACCATCACCTCCTCCAGGAATATTAGGACTGAACAACGAATACTGGGTCTGCCACAACACTCAGATCCCAAGTATAATTATAAGAAAAAGAATCCCTGAAATCGCTGTTGTAACAGTGAAATGAGGTACTCCATATTTACAACAGAGAAATCAAGGCAACAGTGCAAAGACAAAAATAGATGAAAAGCCATTTAAAGAATTTGGCATTTAAATGGCATGTTACCATGTCTCCCAGGAATTTCTGCACAAAATAAGTGCCTGTCAAAAGCAATGGTCATTTCAGCAAAGCTTCGCCGATAGCAATGAAGCAAGTGAGCTATTAAATGAAAACCGAAACAACTGCAGATACCGTAAATCAGAAACAAAAACAGAAGTTGCTGGAAAAGCTCAGCAGGTCTGGCAGCATCTGTGAAAAGAACTCAGTTAATGTTTCACAAGTTCTGAGGAAGGGTCACTGGACTTGAAACTTTAACTCCGACTTCTCTTCACAGATACTGCCAGACCTGCTGAGCTTTTCCAGCAACTTTGATTTTTGTAAGTGATCTATTGATCTGTTCTAAGTGCTGAATAATGAGAACTCTCTGCTTTTCAGTATTTACTTTGCAGATATTATGGTAAATATACTGGAATTTATCCATGCAAAGAAACTCACGCATATCTTTCACTGCAGAGTTTCAGCACAAACAGGGTTCTCCTAAACTCTGCAGTATTGAACGGAAATGCACACTGTTCTTTCAACAATATTCTGTGATACAAGGACAGCAAGAAAAAAAAATTAATTTTCTGAAGGCTTACTCTGCATATTTGTATTGCCACTCTCCGGTAACTAGATCTTGTTCGAACAAGCGAGGAATCCATTCCTCTCCCTTTGCTTTCCGCTGTTTGGCAGCTTTACGTTGATTTTCTTCCAGGACAAACTTTTCACTAGTAGCTTCATTTTGGTCCTTGTTGTGTATTGCACGAGTTACATGTTGCCACAATCTAAGGAAATGTTCACAGAAGGAAGCCAAAAATGTTTGAATATTAAACATTTCCTTCAGTAATGGTTTGACATTTTGTTAAAATTCTATGAATGGAATTATACAAAATATAACAAATTCTCAATGAACTCTTAGCAGACAAGGATTATTAAAAACATGCATTCATCCAAGAGTTTTGTCAATTGAACTGAAACAATTTACAGAATAAAAAGATTTTGACAATGAATTGGAGGACTATTTTATTGATGACCAATTCCATGAAGAGAGACAGCTTTAAAATACTGAGTTATCAAAGAAATATACCCAGTAGGCAGCATATACACAGTTTAGAATATTATTTTATGCACATTTTGTGATTTCATTGCTTTGACAGCATAATGGAAAGAGTCGAGAAAAGGGTAACTTGCACAGAGATATGACTTTCGGATTCTATAGGCAGTCTATGTGGTGCAAATTAAAATCTTATTGTGGACACATTCTCTGCAGGTATCAGTGTTTGACCATTCCAAACCTTGTAACAGGCAGATGGGCACAGGGTGTGGGGTTGCTTTGTTCGTAAAAAATGAAAATAAACTGATAACAAGAAGCGATGTAGGGTCAGAAGGCACAGAAACTATGTGGGTAGAGTTGAGGGACTACAAAAGAAAAGTTATGAACTGGTTCACAGCAGTCAGGATGTTGGGGCAGAAAATAAATCAGGAGACAGAAATGGCATGTAAAAAAAGGCACTATTAGAATAATCATGGGGAATTTCAATATGTAGGTGGTTAGCAAAATCAGGTTAGCAATGCACCCTAAGAAAAAGGATTTGTGGAATGTCTATGAGATGATTTTTTTTTGGAGCAGCTTGTGTTAGAGCCCACTAGGGAGCAGGCAATTCCGGATTTGGTGATGTGTAATGTGGCAGATTGAAGGGGCGTATGATACATAAATGGAAAGAGAGAGGCAAGAGTGGACATTGGAGCTCTGGAAAATGAGGCTGGAGAAGTAATAACGGGAAACAAACAAACTGAGGAACTGAACAGGTACTTTGCATCAGTTTTCACAGTGACACCAGTAGCATACCAGAATTTCAAGTAATTCGGGGCAGAGATGAGTGCAGTGGTCATCACCTAGGAGATGCTGGGGAAGCTGAAAGGTCTGAAGGTGGATAAATCACCCAGACTGGATGGAGTACTTCCCAGAGTTCTGAAGAAGACAGCTGAGGAGACAGTAGCTGGTGGCTAGTGGAGTTCTGCAAGGGTCTATGTTAGGACCATAACTGTTCATGTTATAATTACAGACCAGGATGAAGGAACTTAGGGCATTATTGCTAAGTTTGCACAAAGATAGATGGAGGACAGGTAGAGTTGAGGAGGTGGGGAGGCTGCAGAAGGACTTGGGCTAGTGAGGAGAATGGGCAAAGCAGTGGGAGATGGAATACAATGTGGGAGAAACACTTTGGGTGGAAGAATAGAGGTGTAGACCATTTTTAAAGTGGGGAAAGGCTTGGAAAATCTGAAGCACAAAGGGACTTGGGAGTCCTAGTTTAGGATCGTCTTAAGGTTAAGATGTAGGTTCAGTTGGCAGTGAGGAAGCCAAATGCAATGTTAGCATTTATTTCAAGACTGCTGGAATACAACAGCAGAGATGAACTACTGGGGCTGTATAAGGTTGTGGTCAAATTACAACATAAAAACCAAAAGAACTGCGGATGCTGTAAATCAGGAACAAAAATACAGTTGCTGGAAAAACTCAGCAGGTCTGGCAGCATCTGTAGAGGAGAAAACAGAGTTAACGTTTGGGTCCGGTGACCCTTCCTCAGAACTGATGGTGGCTGGGAAAATGTCAGTTTACATGCAGAAAATAGGGAGGTGGGTGCGGTAGGGAGTAAACGACAGGATAGAGCCCAAAGAGAGAGAAAGACAGTTGGACAGACAGAGGAGTTGCTAACGATCAGGCTGGGAGGGCGAATAGTTGTTAATGGGGACTGTTAGTGACTAGTGGTCAGATTACATTTGGAACATTGTAAGCAGTTTTGGGCCCCTTACCTAAGGAAGGATGTGCTGGCTTTGGAGGCAATCCAGAGAACATTATGAAGAATCTAAGACTCCAGCATCGGCAGTTCCTACTATCTCCTAGGAATGAAGGGCTTGTCATATGAGGATCGGTTAAGGACTCTGGGTCTGTACCCGATGGGGTTTAGAATAATGAGAGGGGAGTCGTATTGAAACTTAGAAAATACAGAGAGGCCTGGATAGAGTGGACATATACCATTAGTAGGAGAGACTAGGACCCGAGTGCACAGCATCAGAGTGAAGGGATGAAATTCAGAACTGAGACGAGGAGAAATTTCTTCAGCCAGAGAGCGGTTAATCTGTGAAACTCATTGCTGCAGAGAGCTGTGGAGGCAGAGTCATTGAGTGCGTCTATGACAGAGATAGTTAGGCTTTTCATTGGTAAAGGGATCAAGAGATACTGGAGAAGGCAGGAGGACGGGGTTGAGGAACATTTTGGCCATGATTTCAGTTGATGGATGATAAAAAGATGCACAAGTTTTGCAAAAATAGTAATCAAGAGATTTTAAATCCACTAGCAATGACTGACATTAACCTTGGAGATAATATAGTGTAAAAATAATTTCTCCTAACTGTAAGCTGAATATTATTAATATTATTAATGGGGTTTAACATGGTTTAACACAAGTAACAGACTGGGATAGGCAAGTCAGGAAGACATACTGACATATGTCTCAAAATCCATCCATCAATCTAGAAGGCAATTCTGATTGGTCTATTCCATGAATGAGATTTGGTGGCAAATCCATAACTTCGGGATTAGATTTTTATCCGTGACATCTCTTCAACACTTGCCTTCCTATGACCCATTGGCTTGATATGGTGGGGGTTTATGTTCCATTTTAGTCTATGATCAACCCTGCTGTATGTTTGAGCCTTCTCCCAACGTTTTCTAAGTTACTCAAACTTCAATTTGATTACATTACTTAATATTCTTGTAGTCAAACATACGAACAAGAGTAGGCCATTCAGCCCTTCAACCCTCTCCGTTACTCAATAAAATCATGGCTGATCTGTGGCCTAACTCAAATGCTTGCCTTGGGCCCATATCCCTTGATACTCTTTCCAATAAAAAAATTGTCTATCTCAGAACAAAATTTAGTAACTGAATTAGCATCAACTGCTGTTTGAGAAAAAGAGTTCCAAGCCTCCAACTACACTGAATTTAGAAGTGCTTTCTGATATCTCTCCTGAATGGCCTGCCTTAATTATTAGACTATGCCTCTTGGTTCTAGAATCTTTAACCAGTGTAAGTTGTTTATCTTTATCTCCCATTTCTTTCCCTGTTAATATCATGAAGTACTTACATGCCATTACTTTTTTTTATTTGAAAAGGACAATTGTATGTTTTAAATAAGTCGTATTGTTCTTCAGGTCTTTTTCCTAGCATTAATTTATAATGTATGGAAGGCACTGCATTTCCAAGTATCAAATAGCTCACACAATAGAAAAATTGAATTGTATTTCAAGCAGAGCAGTTCTAAGCTTTCAAACTCAAGCACAGCTTAGTGACTTGTGAGTAGAAGCAAGATACTTCAGATTTTTCTTTATTATTTGTTGATAGGTGGGCATCACCAGCTAGGCCAGCATTTATTGACCACCCCTAATTACCCACAAGGTTGTTAAGAGTCAAATGCACACTTCTGTGGACCTGGAGTCACAAGTAGACCAAAACAGGTAAGGATGGTAAATTTCCTTCCTGAAAGGACATTAATGAATCAGATAGGTTTTTAGAACAATCGACTGTAGTTACATGATTGCCATTAGACTTATTAGATTTTTATTCCAGGTGCTTATTACTTAATTCAAATTCCACCTGGTGGGATTTGAACCCATTTCCTCAGAACACGGGTTCTGAGTTATTTGTCCAACACATTACCACTATGCCACCACATCCCCTATTAGCCACTATTTGTTATTATTCCAAATAGTTCTGTCTACAGTCTTTTTGTGTATCCAGGGTGGGACTTCATGATTAGGTGAAAAATAACAAGATGTAATCCACGAGGACAGGAGGTGGTGGGGGACGGACACGGGTTTCCCATCTTGAGCAAGGCCCATTCCTTCTGCCTTGGAAAATCCAGCTCAAAGGATCTCTCCTATAATATGGAGATCGGGGAAAGTTTCTTATCCCAGAGTCTTTAATCTTTGGCATTTTCTTCCTCAGGTAGCAGTGGAGGTTCACTAAATGGATTCAAGGCTGAGTTAGCCAAGTTGCTGCAAGTGAATCGAGGAGTGGATGTCTGGCAGTAAAATATACTTGTAGCCACAGTCAGATCAAGCATGATTTTACTGAATGTTCAAACAGGCTTGAGGAGCCATTCCTATTTCTTGTGTTCTTACTATGATGGCTGGAAGGAATGATAATGGTTGCTGTAGATTAGATGCAGCATTAGATTCAAAGATCTAATCAGATCAGATCAAAACCAAAGCTGTTCAGTTGGTTATTTTGAATCTTAAAGAAAACTTTCTGCTAAGGTAAACTGAAATGGGGTATGGAAGGAATGGTTTACCTTGCTGACTCCATGTCCTCCTGCTCATCAAATAGCACAGTGCACCTGGTTAGTCTCTGCTGTCGGATTTCAGATGTGGGGTTCCAGAATACTTCTGATACACCAGTCTTTTTGTCATTAATCACTACTTCACCATCCTATAAATTGTTAAAAAGCAGAAAAAAATTAACTGTAATTATAACATCATTTAAATACATTCTTTAAAATGATGAATTAAAAGAAATGACTCTGTCTCCAAAATATTTATTTGCTACTACTGTCTTAGAATGAAATCATTCCATGGGATGAGTGTGTTGCTGGCTGGGCTACCTTTTATTATCCATCCCCAACTGCCTTTCAGAAGGTGAACTGCTGCAGTCTATTTGGTGTAGTTATACACAGTGTTGTTAGGCAGGAAGTTGCAGGAATTTGACCCAGGCACACTGATATAGTTTAATGTCAGGATGGTGAGTGGCTTGGAGGAGAACTTGCAAGTGGTGGCGTTCCCTTGTATCTACTACCCTTGGTTTTCTTGATGGTAATGGTAGTGGGGTTTCAAGGTGCAGTCTAGGGAACCTCAGTGAGCTACTGCAGGCTGTCAAAGGTACACATTGCTATGCCAGTGGTGAGGGAATAATTGTTGAAGGTGTTAGATGGGATGCCAATCAAGCAGGTTTCTGTGTCCTGGAAGGAGTTAGGTAGCTTGACTATTGTTGGAGCTGCATTCATCCAGACAAGTTAAGAATATTCCATCACACTCTTGATTTGTGCCTTGTAGGTGGTGGACAAGCTTTTAGGAGTAAATTACTCGCCACAGAATTCCTAGCCCCTGACCGCTTGTCACAATATTTATGTGGCTAGTCCAGTTCAGTTTCTGGTAAATTGTAACACTCAGATGTTGACAGTGCAGGATTCAGTGATGGTGATGTCCTTGAAAGTCAAGGATGATGGTTAGATTCTCTCTTGTTGAAGGTCATTGACCAGCAATTATGTGGCTGAAAAGTTACTTTCCACTTAACAATACAAACCTGAACGTTGTTCAGGTCTTGCTGCATTTGGACATTGACTACTTCAGTGTCTGAGGAGTTTTAAATGGTGCTGAACAATGCACAGTCATCAGCAAACATCTCCACTTCTGACATTATGATTGAGGGAAGATCAAGATGGCTGGAATTCTTGCAGATGTCCTCAGGCTGAGATGATTCACCTCCAACCACAACCATCTTCCCTAGTTATAGGCATGATTCCAACCAGCAGAGATTTCTCCCCTTGATTCCACATTTCGCAAGTATCTGTCAGCAAGTTATTTTTTTTAAGTGAACACCACCTGATAACTCCTCCTATCACTGAGAACAGATTGAAGAGGTGATCATCAGTCAGGTTGGATTTGTCTTGCCTTTTGTGCACAGGACATACCTGGGCAATTTTCCACATTGCTGGGTAGGTGCCGGTGTTGCATCTGCACTGGAACAGCTGGATGAGATGCATGGCTTGTTCTGAAGCGTAAGTCTTTATTATCTTTGCCAGAATACTGTCAGGGCCCAGAGCCTTTGCAGTTGTTTCTGGATACCATGTGCAGTTAAACTGAATTGGCTGAAGATTGGCATTTGTGATGTTGGAAACCTTGGGAGTGGCTGAGGTGGATCATCCACTCAACACTTCTAGCTGATAATGGATGCAAACACTTCAGCCTTGCCTTTTGTATCAAAGTGCTAGGCTCTCCCTTCGTTGAGGAGCCTTTAGTGAGTTGTTTAATTGTCCACAATGCTTCACAACTCTGATATAGCAGGGCTGAAGAGCCTAGATCTGAATACTGGTTGTGGGATCTCTTAGCTTTGTCTTCAGCATGCTATTTGGAATGCATTTAGTCTGTTTTGTTGCTTTTACAGCTTAACACCTTAATTTTAGTATGTCTGCAGCAGCTTCTGACTTTCCCTTGCGCACTCTTCCTCGAACTTGTATTGATTTCTGTGCATATTTTGGTTAGATACAATACAGCAGTAACAAAAACAGAAGTTGCTGGAAAAGCTCAGCCATCTGTGAATTAAAATCAGAGTTAACGTTTTGAGTCCGGTGACCCTTCCTCAGAACAATATAGCCAGCTGCTCATGGCCGACCCTGCTTCAGAGAGTCATAGGGATGTACAGAATGAGAACAGACCCTTCGGTCCAACTCATCCATGCCGACCACATATCCTAAATTAATCTAGTCCCGTTTGCCAGCATTTGGCCCCATACCCCTCTAAACGCTTCCTATTCATCTACCCATTCAGATGCCATTTAAATGTTTGTAATTGCACCAGCCTCCACCACTTCCTCATTCCACACACACACCACCCTCTGCATGAAAAAGTTGCCCCTCAGGTCCGTTTCATATCTTTCCCCTCTCATATTAAAAGTATGCCCTCTAGTTTTGGACTCCCCCCACCCCCTGGGAAAAGACCTTGTCTATTTGACTTATCCATGCCCCTCATGATTTTATAAACTTCTAAGGTCACCCCTCAGCCTCCGACGCTCCAGGGAAAACAGCCCCAGCCTATTCAGCCTCTTCCGAGAGCTCAAACCCTCCAACCCTGACAACTTCCTTGTAAGTCTTTTCTGAACCCTTTGAAGTCTTATGAATGCTCGGTTTTGAGATTTTTGAAATCTGTCCTATTTACCATAGCACAGTGCCACACAACACAATAAAAGACATCCTCAACATGATGGTGGGTGGTTGTCTCCACAAGGACTGTGCAGCAGGTCACTACAGCTTATACTGTTTGTTATTCACAGATGAGATGTGGGCATCGCTAGCTAGGCCAGCATTAATTTTCAATTGCCACTCTCTAGTTCCCCTTGTGAAAAAGGTGGTGAACTGCCTTCTTCAACTGTTGCAGTCCAAATGCTGAAGGTACCCCCACAGTGTTGTTAGGTAGGAATTTCCAGGATTTTGACCCAATGACACTGAAGGAACAGTTAAAAATTTCCAAGTCAGGATGGTGAGAGGCTTGGAGGGGAACTTGCAGGTGGTGGTGTTCCCAAGAATCTGCTGCCCTTGTCCTTCCCAATGTAGGTGGTTATGGGTTTGGAGGGTGCTGTCTAAAAAGCCATGTGGATGTGGTGCCAATCAAGTGGGCTGCTTTGTCCTGGATGGTATCGAGCTTGAGTATTGTTGAGGATGCACTCATCAGAGTGTTCCAGCACATTCCTAACTTATGCCTTATAGATGGTCAACAGGACTTCGGAGAGTCACAAGGTTAGTTATTTGCTGCAGGATTCCTAGCCTCTGACCTACTTGTGTCCAAAGTAGTGATTTGATTGGTCTAGTTTTTCTGGTCAGTGGGAATCCCCAGAATGTAGATAATGGGGCATTCAGTGATGGTAACACCATTGAATGTCAAGTGGCTGTGATTTGATTGTCTCTCATTGGAGACAGTCATTACCTGGTGCTTGTGAGGTACAAATGTAATTTGCCACTTTTCAGCCCAAGCCTTGCTGCACTTGCACATGGACTGCTTCAGTATTGGCAGAGTCATGAATGGTGATGAACTTTGTGTAATCAGTAGTGAACGTCCCTATTCTGACCTTATGATAGAGGGAAGGTCATTTATGAAGCAGCTGAAGATGGTTGGGCCTGGGACACCACCCTGAGGAACTCCAGGACTCTTGTGGCATGGTGGTAGCATTCTTAGCTCTCAGTCAGAAGGCGAGTGCTCAAGTCTCACCTGCACCAAAGGAGTATATGAACATCTGTGTGCCAACCAAGCGTACCCGCCCCTTGGACTCCCACTGGCTCCAGTTTTTCTAGGGCTCCTTGATGCCATAGTCAGTCAACAGTGGCCTTGACGTCAAGGAAAGATGTTGTTAAACTTGAAAAGGTTCAGAAAAGATTTACAAGAATTTCGCCAGGATTGAAGGGTTGGAGCTACAGGGAAAGGCTGAATAGAAACATAGATTTGCTATAGTATGGCAATTCAGCTCAGAGTCCACACTGGTCCTCTGAAGAGCATCCCACCCAGACTCACCCACCACGCACGCCCCTTGCACATCTTTGGACTATGGGAGGAAACTGGAGCCCTTGGAGGGAGAATGTGCAAATTTCACACAGACAGTTGCATAAGGTTAGAACTGAAGCCGGGTCTCTGGCGCTGTGAGGCAGAAGTGCTAACCACTGAGCCACCATGCTACCCTCGGGTTGATAGGCTGTGGCTTTTTACCCTGGAGCATCAGAAGCTTTTTTTTATTATTATTATTAAAAGGTGGCTTTTTTTTATTATTCATAAATGGGATGAGGGCATTGCTGGGTCAATAGCATTTATTGCACATCTCTAATTGCCCAGAGGGCAGTTCAGAGTCAACCACATTGCTGTGGGTCCTGAGTCACATGTAGGCCAGACCAGGTGAGGATGGCGGTTTCCTTCCCTAAAGGACATTAGTGAACCACATGGGTTTTTGCTGATTGTCGTAATGTGTTGCATTCACGGTCATCATTAAATTCTTAATTCTAGATATCTATTGAATTCAAATTCCACCATCTGCTGTGGCAGAATATGAACCCGGATCCCCAGAACATTATCTGGTGCTCTGAATTAATAGTCCAACGACAATACCACTCGTCTTATAGAGGTTTATTAAATCATGAGGGGCATGGATAGGGTAAATAGACGAGGTCTTTTCCCCCAGGGTAGGGGAGTCCAAAACTAGAGGGCATAGGTTTAAGGTGACAGGGGAAGATTTGAAAGGGACTGGAGGAGCAACCTTCTCACGCATAGGAATGTGTGCGTACGGAACGAGCTGCCAGAGGAAGTGGTGGAGGCTGGTACGATTACAACATTTAAAAGGCATCTGGATGAATGCATGAATAGGAAGGGTTTTGAGGGATATGGGCCAAATGCTGGAAAATGGGACTAGATCGATTTAGGATATTTGGTCGGCGTGGATGACTTGGACTGAAGGGTCTGTTTCTGTGCTGTATGATTCTATGACTGTCACTCTCACCTCATCTCTGGAATTAGCTCTTTCGTTCATGTTATAACCAAGGTTGTAATGAGGTCAGGAGCTGAGTGACCAGGGCATCGGTGATTCATCAGCTGATGAGGGGAGGGGCCGACAAATAGGTGGTCATCAACGGGTTTCTTTGCTTATGTTTGCTTTGATGCCATGAGACCTCATGGGATTCGAAGTCAACACTGAAGACTCCCAAGGCAACTTCCTTCCAACTGTGCATTACTTTGCTGCCAGTTCTTCATCCTGGGCTCTTAAAAGAAGTGACTACTGAGATTGCTGACAAACTGCCTTTAATTTTCCAATGGAATGGAAAATAGCAAATGTAATACATTACTCCAAAAGGGACGGAGACAGAAAACAGGAAAGTTTAGAAGAATTAGTTTAACAGCTTTTTTAGGAATAACATCTGAAACTATTATCCAAGAAATTATAATAGGGTCTCAACTGTTTACAGTTTATGTAAAAGAGTTGGATAAAGGGACAAAAGGTTTCTAAACTTGCTGATGACACAAAGGTGGTTCAGAAAGATGTAAGGAGGCCACAGAAGGATACAGACAGATCTACTGGGCAGACAAAGATCCAGTAAATAGATATGATGAAGGAAACTGTGAAATTATCATTTTGACACAAAGAATAAAAAGAAACACATTATCTAAAGTTGGGACAGATACAGAGAAATCTGCTGTCTTCATGCTTCAATCACAAACGGTTTGAGAGCAGGTACAGCAATTAATGAAGAAGACAGTGTCTACTGAGATCAACTGTCTGATAAATTCTGATGGTGCATGCTCACCTTCAATTTTATTTTTAAATACGCAATGCAATTTTTAAAACTTAACAAAAACTTCAAGTTTATTTGACAGTTGTTTTCTCTTCCTTGATTTTTTTTCATGATTTTTCTTTCATTTTTAAGGTTTGTTAGGTTTTTATCAGACTTTATATCAATTTGTTTCAGAGACTGCGCTACTACTATGGGTGGTTCTGGGGGTCAGCAAGCACAGCCAATTAAGAAAGCTAATACAATGTTATCATTTATTTTGAAGGTATTTGACTGCAAATGTTGGCAAATTATGCTTCAGTGTCTCTATATTTTTGTGAAAGGGTGTAAATGCATTGGAAGCAGTTCACAGTAAGTTTACAAGACTAAAATATGGAACGAGTGGGCTGTTTCACCAAGGTTGCACAGGCTAAACTTATGTTTCTTTGAGTTTTCTCTCCGTAGCCCTCGGTGTTTCCAAAATCTAAACATTTCTCAAACTCTTTCTTGAATATTGTCAGTGATCTGGTCTCCACAGTCTTCTACAGTAGCAAAATCCACAGGTTTACCACCCTCTGAGTGAAGAAATGTTTCCTCATCTCAGTCCTAAATGGCCTACACAGTAACACTCAACACTGCAGCCTCCCCACCACGGATGCATCCTCAGCCCCGACTGTACTCCCTGTACACCCAAGGCTGTGTTTCCAAATTCCAAACGAATGCCAACTACAAGTTTGTGGACAACACCACTATAGTAGGATGGATATCTAACAACAAGTCAAAATACAGAAGGGAGATAGAGGGCTTGGTGACGTGGTGCAACGAGAACAACCTCTCTCAACGTCGGAAAAACTAAAGACTTGATCATTAACTGAACTGAGGTTGAGAGGGTGGACGGCGTCAAGTTCCTCGGAGTGACGATAACTGACAATCTGTCCTGGGCTTCCCATGTAGATGCAACAGTCAAGAAGGCACAACAACGCCTCTTCTTCCTCGGGCAGCTCAGGAAAGTTGGAATGTCCATAAAAACTCCCACCACCTTCTACCGATGGACCATTGAAAGCACACTGCCTGGGTGCATAACGGCCTGGTACGGCAACTGCTCTGCCCAGGACCGCAAGAAACTACAGAAGGTGGTGTGCACAGCCCAGACCATCACGGAAGCCAACCTTCCATGCATGGACTCCATTTACATGGCTCGCTGCTGCAGAAAGGCTGCCAACATCAAAGACCCATCACACCCCGATAATGATCTCCGACAGCCTCTTCCATCAGGCAGGAGATACAGAAGCCTGAGCACACGCACCAGCAGGTGCAGGAACAGCTTCTTCCCAGCCGTTATTAGACTGATGAATGGAGTCTGTAGCCTCAAATAACGCTGATCTTGCTAACACTGATCTTGCCTAGTGCACGCCCTGTGCTATATAACCCTGTATGCCTCTGTCTAAGTCTTTTACATCTGTACATCCTTGTTACTATCATCTGCCTGTACTACTCGGAAACAAAGCTTTTCACTGTACTTCGTACAAGTGACAATAAATCAATCAATCAAATATTCTGAGACTGTGGCCCCAGTTCTAGACTCTAGAGTCACGGAAAACATCCTCCTTGTATCTAGTCTGCGTTGCCCTGTGAGAATTCTTTTGATGTTTCCTCTCGTGGGAGAATCTAGAACAAGGGATCAATGTTCAAAAATAAGGGATCGCCAATTTAAGACAGAGATGAAGAGGAATATCTTCTCTCAAAGAGTGGTGAATCTGTGGAATATCTTACTGCAGAGGCCTGTTACGGCTGGGTTGGTAAGTATATTTACAACAACAGTGGACAGATTTTTAATCAGTAAGGAAATCAAGGATTGTGGAGAAATGTCAGCAAAGTGGAGTTCAGGATTATCAGATCAGCCATGAACGCGTTAAATAGTGGAACAGACACAACGTGTTCAATGGTCTATTATGCTCTTACTGAACCCAGTAGGTTTTTAAGACAATCAACAATGGTTTTGTAGTCACCCTGAGATAACATTTTAATTCTAGCTGTTAATTTAATTCAAATTTTACTATCTGCCATGGTAATTTTTAAACCCATATCCACAGAATATTAGCCTGGTGCTCTGAAATGTTTGTCCAGTGACTCTGCCACTCCTTCTCACAGTAGCAGTCCATATTAAATTATTTTTCAATTATATATTTCAAAATGGATGAAATCTTCAACACTCAATAATTTTCTCAAAAAGATGCCACACTACTCACCCAGTGTCCTTCCAGAGTTGCCAAAACCTCTGATCCCAACTTGAGTTTTCCAAATATTTGGTTAACATTGTTGCTGTTGCCTAAAAATGGCTGGGTCCATGACAATTATTGACAATACAGCATTAGATGTGAGACAATACAGCATTAGATGTGAGAAAATACAAGAAAAACATTACAATGTTTTGGTGTGCAGACAGTTTTCAGTTAAAACTAATATAAAATTACCCAGTTAATTTTTGTAGTGCTGAGCTCCAGCACAAAAATGATTTACTGTTTAATCCCTTTGACTTTGTGTTTTGGATTACAAGACACTGCCAATGATTTTCTGGTGAAAGCCCCAAATTCAGTCATCTTAGCGTTTCTCATTACACCTGTAGAGATTAGGAACTCAACACAGGGGAAGGTATAGTCATGAACTCCATAAGAAAGGAAATTTTAAATATCAAATCCTTGTCTTGAAAACATCTGTACAGCAAACGCAAAGGAGTTGTCAATTTCATTCACAAGAGGCATGCAAATTATCAATTAGATTAAACTGCAAGAATCATTTTGGAACAGTAGTTTTTGGGTTTTAACATTTTGATATTTACTGTACTCAACTACTGGTACATAGAAACCCAAATTAAGGTGAAACTTTGTTTAATTTCCAAATGAAGCACAAGATGTTAGATATGATGATTTCTGTACATTGGCTCATCTGTTTGCCGGACAACTCATCCAGATAAACAATTGTTTCTCAACAAAGATGTCAATGGAGAGTAATGCAACTCAAAACATTCACTGTTTCTCTGTCGACAAATGCTGCTAGACCCATGTTTTGCACACACATTCACTTTTTATTTTTAAAAATCATCAACTTCCCGTCAGAAAATAATTCCTTTGCATATAATTATATACTTGGTTACCTTAAATTAAGTGTCTAATGTCACTATGCTAAATACTATTTTAAAATTAATTTAATTTCCTCAATTTTTAAAAAAAAAATAATCTTTTCGTATGAAGTTCAATTAAAAACAATGTTTTAGATAGGGGACAACCATTCATTTGTTTGGTAACCCTTCCAAATCTTCCATATGCTACTTCATCGATTCCTAAATTAAAACCCCTTTACTTATTTCAGGAATCAAATTTCATCTAGGCATTTAAAAAAAAATTTAGAATCTCAAAAATTGCATAAAAAGTATTCTTGGAAAACACAATCTTCCAATTATTCTTCCAGTTTTAGAGAGAAGCATCCGCTATCTCTCAAAGAGTTTGACCAAAACATCTGAAACAAATTTGGGGAAGCATGTTTACAAACCCACACCCGATGATCAAATGGAACAACTATGCATTGTAAGTGCAAACGTTTGCTTACAATAATGTTAACATTAATTTTTTGCATGGCCTGGCTTCCTACCCAAAGAATGAGAGTAATGAAATCATGTTTCAATTCCTTTTCTTATTTCTAAACAGGAAATTAGTTTGCTGATTGATGTTCCCATCAAAGGCCACAGAATTGGAAGCTACATTCCAAAATTAAGCTGAAATACAGGAAAAGGAAAAAATAACTAACCTTCAATTTGAATTCGATAATTGCACTGTACCCTGTTTTCTCACAGGTGATATTAACATGGCCTCCAAGTTCAAGAGTCATTGGACCATAAACAATTCCTATGAAGTAAGAATTTATGAAAAGTTGTTGTATATTTTGCGCATCTTGGATCTAGCACATGTCAACTGCACGTCAGACTTTATAGTTTTAGTCATTTGGTTGTACATAACCTGAGTATTGCTGAAAAAAAAAAGATACATTTTGTTGATGCTTTCCTTCTTGCACTCATCAGGATAATTTGCAGAAATACCAAACTAAAAGTACTTTTAAGGTATAAATGGACATTATGAGAACAGTGCTGAGTAGCTGACAAGTGGGCTTTAATTGGTAGATGTATAGAGACCCAACCAGTTAATAATGACTGACAGTTACCTGCCAAGATTTTTAAAGTTTTCACAGGACAGGCATTAAGGTACTGACCACACCAAGTAGCCTGTGCCTGCAAAACCCACAATGTCCAACATTAAATGTGATGTAGAGGTGCCAGTGTTGGAATGGAGTGGACAAAGTCAGAAGTCACATGATACGAGGTTGTAGTCCAACATGTTTATCTGAAATCACAAGATTTCAGACCGCTGCTCCTTTGTCAGTGAAGACTCCATCTGATGAAGGAGCAACGCTCTAAAAGTTTGTGATTGCAGATAAATCTGTTGGACTATAACCTGGTGTTGTGTGACTTCCAACGTAACATGGACAATTGGACAACATTTGCTAAATAATCCTGAGTATTTCTGAATTGTGTCAAAGCTTTATGCCTTGAACTCATGGAAGTATACAAGATAAACAGTTTTGACAAAATGTGTAATTTTTCAACAATACTCAAGTCCTGTACAGTAAAGAAACAATTTGAATCCTGCATATTCACAGAATTTGCTGTCAACCAATTTGGGATTGTCAGTCAGGTTTGCAATGTGGCATATTTTCAGGCACTGGAAGCTACATATATTAATATGCAGGGCCCAGCTCTCTGCAGACAGAAAGAACATGGACACACACTATACTTGTTTCAACTCCACAAAATAGGTGACAGCCACTCTGTCTCATTTTTCAGAAGCAATGCCATGACCAGACAACTTAGAGGTTTAAAAATTGAAGCAAGTCCTTAGGCCTTTTCACGAGTGAAGCATGGAAAGATCAATATACCAACAGAACGACAATGATGAAGATAATGAAAAATAAACAGGCAGAGAATCTATTTTTACTGTGTGAAAATAGCAAAGCAGTAAATAATGAGAAACATAGAAAGATACAAAACCCAAGACCAGGAGAAGAAATGACAAGCTGGGGTGAAGCTTTTATGTGAAGGACTTGTAGCTTCAGCTAAACATAGTGGTTATGCTGCTAAGTCAAAAGAACAAGGCTTGGTGAAAGCAGGTGGGCTATTCCAGCTTACGGCTTGGCAATCAGTCTCTGGTAATATGTTGCAATTCTCTCTGTGTTGTTGAATGAAAATTCTGAAACACCCTCCCAAACAGCATTGGGGATCTACCTGTAGAACATGGGCTGCAGTGGGTCAAGAAAGCAGCTTACCGTCACCTTCTCAAGGGCAGCTAGGGATTGATAATGAATGCTGGCCTAGCCAGCGATGCCCACATAAGAGCAACATAACCTATAGGGGGACCCTGACTCATGAATGCGATATCATACAGGAATGTAATTTTAAAGACCCGAAATACAAACATTTCCTGTACTTACAAAGGGCTTCTTCATAATGTCCTGCATTGTGTTGACTTGCGTACAAGTCAGTTGGCAAACAAACTCCAGAACAGAACCTGTTCACAACCTGGGGACTGCCTGTGTATTGGTTTAGGGTAGTGCCTGTTGAGATTGATTGGAAAGCAGTAAACTGGAAGTCTGCTTATTTTCATGCAGTGTTATGCTTTTGACAACCATGAAATCTGCCTGTTCCATCAATAAGATCATGGCTGACCTGTGATTCAAACTCAATACGAAGAGTCTGATAACACAGCCCAAATGCCATGTTCTATTGTGATGAAATCCATCATTTGCGAGCCACGACTTGGTCTGCATTGTCATCTACTAGAACAGAAACCAAAAGAATTGTGGATGCTGTAAATAAGAAACAAAAACAGAAATTGCTGGAAAAGCTCAGCAGGTCTGGCATCATCTGTGAAGAGAAATCAGCCTTAATGTTTCAGGTTGAGTCACCCTTCCTCAGAACCTGATGTTGTTTAAAACAGAAACCAAGTCCAGGTTTCTGGATGAGTGGTTCTGATTGGTGAAAAAAAGCAAACAGCAGGTTGCTGGGTCATGGTTGACTCACTGGCTGTGAAGCTGTGTATTTCAGCAGTGCAGACCAACTGAGGAGCTGGGAGTTTTTTTTCAGCAGACTCAACCATACAACATATGGGGTGTTATTGAGTGGTCGACTGAAGGGGAAGCTATGCTTTTCAGGACTCTTGTGAATGAAGTTCTGCAGGATCGTGCCCTTTTGGTAATAATCGTATTCTTGCAAGTTGGATGGAGTAACGTTATTCTAGAGGCTACCTAATAGTTAAAACTTGTGTAACTAAGAGTAATTAAACTCTACTGGAGGAGGTTAGACAAAGTTAAAAGTCACACAACACCAGGTTATAGTCCAACAGATTTATTTAAAATCACAAGCTTTTGTAGCACCGCTCCCTTGTCAGGTGAAGTGGAGGGAGGCACACAGAATATATAGTGTTACAAAGTTGGGTACAGTAATTGTGAAGTAGAAGGCAGGAAGCTAAAATATGTAGTTCCTTGAAGAGTTTGTGCCTTTTTAAAACAAAATTTCTATATCTGTGATTTTAAATAAATCTGTTGGACTATAATCTGGTGTTGTGTGGATAGGCAATGGCTAATGGAACGCATGGGGGGACTGCAGCAACTGTTTATTCCTGTTGCAAAAGCAAAATGGGTAAGAGGGCCAATCCATGTCTTACAAAGGAAATAAGAGATTGTATCCGATCCAAGGAAGAAGCGTACTGATAGGCCAAGAAAAATAATAAATGTGATGATTGGGAGCAATTTATAATTCAGCAAAAAGGACCAAGGGATTGATTAAGACGGGGAAAATAGAGTACAAAAGTAAGCTTGCAGGGAACATAAAGACTGACGCTATGAGTTTCTATAGGTACGTGAAGAGAGAGAGATTGGCAAAGAGAAATTGTAGGTCCCCTACAGACAGAAATGGGGGAATGTATAATAGGGGACAAAGAAATGGCTGAGGAACTGAATACATATTTTAAATTGTTGGAGGATGCAAGATTTAGTGAGAGGGAACAACTGAAGGAGATCAATATTAATAGAGAAATGGTGTTGGGAAAATTGTTGGGATTGAAGGCTGATAAATCCCCAGGACCTGATAATCTACATCCCAGAGTGCTTAAGAGAGTAGCTCTAGAAATAGTGGATGCATTGGCGGTCATCTTCCAGGATTCTATAGACTCTGGAACAATCCCTGCAGATTGGAGGGTGGCTAATGTCGCTCCAATATTCAAAAAGGGTGGTAGAGAGATAACAGGGAATTATAGACAGGTGAGCCTAACATCAATAGTAGGGAAAATTCTCGGATCTATTGTTAAGGATTTTACAGCAGAGCATTTAGAAAGCAGTGGCAGGATCAGACAGACAGCATGGATTTATGAAGGGGAAATCATGCTTGACAAATCTGTTGGAATTCTATGAAGATGTGACTGGGAGAGTTGAAAAGGGGGAGCCAGTCGATGTAGTATATTTGGACTTTCAGAAAGTATTTGACAAGGTTCCATATGAGAGATTAACGTGCAAGATTAAAGCACATGGGATTGGGGGAAATATATTGAGATGGATAGGAAACTGGTTGGCAGAGAGGAAACACAGAGTAGGAATTAATGGGTCCTTTTCAAATTGGCAGGCAGTAACTAGCTGGGTGCCACAGGGTAATGTAATGAATTCCACAGGCTCTTGTTTTGATGTTGTGACAATGAGTTTGAACTTGGCCAATTAATTCAAATGAAGCACCTAGAAAGAAAGCCAATTGAATTTAAATCTGATGGTGTTGGCAACCTGAAACCAATCATATTATAAGGATTTGATTATGTCATTGCAGGTATATAAGACAAGGACATTTGGAAAATTGGAGAGAGTCAATTGTCACCTGAAAGAGAGAGACAACTGCCACCTGCCAGAGTTAACACCATTCAGCTCTCAGAGAAAGCCCGTCTAATTAATTTAGATCAAAGTCCTCATTGAAGAAATTATAGAGATAAAACATCCCTGACAGCAGAATTAACGGAAGAAAGGCATTTGTGAAGAGCGCGGAGACGGCAGAATATTTCAGAAGACAGTCTGTGAGGACTTGGAGAGATTAAACTTTAACTTATTGATTCTTATTAATTGGGTCTATATTAGTGGGACTTGTTTTTATTTAAACAGCATTCTAGTAGAATTTAGATCAGGTAGGAAGTAGCTAGTAGTCTCAGGGGGAACTGTCAGTTTGTTAATAATTTTGTTAATTTATTCGTTGTTGGGTTAAATAAATAAATTGTTTCTTGTTACTTGTAAAGTGGACATTTGGAATTTTCTTTCTTTTAATCCCAATTTTTATTACGAGGAAAAAGATGAGCTTTTCTCGGTGTTTCAGAGGTTAATTATTAGAGGGAAACCCCTACTCCTGTCATAACAGATCGGAGCTTTAGTTTTAGTTTAATTATTCAAACGGTTCAGCCATTCCCCATTGTAACAATAGGTGGAGAAGGTTAGAGCTGGAAAGGACTGCACCATCTTCAATTTAATATCCTTCCTATTGCAGGGCTGTACTGTCGAACTATACACAGTACTCCAAAAGTGACCTCACCAATGTCCTGTACAGCCTGAAAACATACACAATGATCTCAGCAATGAAGGCAAGCATGCTAAGCACCTTCTTAACCATCCTGTCTATCTGTGATGCAACTTTTAAAAAACTATGTACCTGAACCCCTCAATCTCTCTATTCGACAACATGACCCAGGGCTCAGCCATTAAATGTCTAAGCCCTTCCCTTGTTTGCTTCACCAAAATTCAATATCCTGCATTTATCCAAATTAAACTACATCTGCCACTCCTCAGCCCATTGCCCCAATTGATCAAGAACCCTTCTTCACTGTTGACTATACCACCAATTTTAGTGTCATCCGCAAACTTACTAATCATGCTTTCTAAATTCTCATCCAAATCGTTTATATAAATGACAAACAGTGGACCCAGCGCTGATGCCCGCAGAACACTGCTAGTCACAAGACTCCAGTCCAAAAAACAACCCTTCACCACCACCCTCTGTCTCCTAACATCAAACCAATTTTGTGTCCAATTGACAAGCTCTCCCTGAATCCCATGTGATAGATCTTTATTAATCAGTCTACCACGTAGAACCTTGTTAAAGACTTTACTGAAGTCCGTGTCGACAACATTTACCACGCTGCCCTCAATCGTTTTGGTTATGTCCTCAAAAACATCAATCTAGTTTGTGAAAATTGATTTCCCATGCACAAAGTCATGCTGACTATCCCTCATCAGTCCTTGCCTCTCCAAATGCATGTAAATCCTATCTCTCAGAATCCCCTCCACTGATGTCAGACTCACCAATCTATAGTTGCCAGGCTTCTGCTTAGAGGTTTTCTTAAATAAAGACACAACATTAGCCACCTTCCAGTTCTCCAGCACCTTACCTTACCTGAAAGGACCCCGCAACTTCTTCCCTAACTATCCTGGGATACACTTGATCAGGTCCCAGAGATTTATCCATCTTTTGCTTTTTTTAAGACCTCCAGAACCTCCTCTTCTGTAATGTGGACTGTTTTCAAGACAACAGTATTTATTTTCCCTGAGTTCCCTAGCCTCCACGTCCTTCTGCACAGTAAAATCTGATGCGAAATATTCATTTAGTATCTCTCCCATCTCCTGTGGTTCCACACATAAATGACATTGTTGATCTTTAAGGGGCCGTATTCTCTCCCTCATTGCTCTTTCATTCTTAATATAGTTGTACTTGCTAATCTTTGGATTAGCCTTAAAATTGTCTGCCAAGAATATCTCATATCCCCTTTTTGCCCTCCTGATTTCCCTCTTAAGAATGCCCCTACACCCCTTATACTATACAAGAGATTCACTTGATCCCAGTTGTCTATATCTAACAAATGCCTCCTTCTTATTCTTGACGACAGCCTCAATCGCTAGTCATCCATTGTTTCCTATCCTTACCACTCACTCTAACAGGAACATATTATCTCTGAACTCTCGTCGTCTCACTTCTGAAAGCTTCCCACTTGCCAGTCATCCCTTTACCTGCAAACAGTCTACTCCACTCAACTTTGAAAGCTCCTGTCTCATACCATCAAAATTTGCCTTACTCCAATTTGGAACTTTAACTTTGATATTAGGCCTATTCCTTTCCATAACTATTTCAAAACTCAAAAGTGCTGGTCCCAAAGTGCTCTCCCACTAACACTTCAGTCACTTACCCTGCCTTATTTCCCAAGAGAAGGTCAAGGTTTGCTCCTTCTCTAGTAGGCACATCTACACAGTGATGAAGAAAATTTTCTTGAACACGTTGAACAAATTCCTCTCCATCCAAGCCCTCAACATTATGGCAGTCCAAGTCTATGTTCGGAAAGTTAAAATCCCCTATTATTCTTACACATATCTGAGATCTCTCTACATATGTGCTCCTCAGTTTCCCTCTGACTACTTGGGGGGGGGGTGGCCTTCAGTACAAGGTGATCATCCCCTTCTTATTTCTGAGTTCCACCCATACTGCTTCACTGGACGATCCCTCAGAAATATCCTAGGTACAGCAGTAATGTTTTCCCTAATCAAAAACACCACTCTCCCTCCTCATTTGCCTCCCTTTCTATCTTTCTGATAGCATCTAAATCCCAGAACATTGAGCTACCAGTCCTGTCTCTGCAATAGCTATGTTGCCCCACTGCCATGTTCCCATATATGCCCTGACTTCATCTGCCTTACGTGTAAGGCCCCTTGCATTGAAATAAATGCAGTTTAATTCATCGGAGTCATTTCACTCTCTGACTTGGTCTTCCCTGCCTTTTTTTATTAACTTGCTGTCTTTAACTTCAGAACCATCTTCATCTGTCTCTCTATTCTCATTACTTAGGCTCCCTCACTCGCCCTGCCCACCAGTTTAAAGGCTCCCAAATAGAACTAGCAAATCTCTCTGCTAGGATATTAATCCCCCTTCAGTTCAGGACGAACTTTCAAACAGGTCTGTTCTTCCCCAGAAGAGATCCCAGTAATCGAAAAATCAGAATTCTTGGCTCCATACCATCTCTTCAGCCACTCATTTATCAGCCCTACCTTCCTATTCCTACTGTCACCAGCATTTGGCACAGGGAGTAATCCAGAGATTACTACCTTTGACGGTCTGCTTTTTAACCTCTGCCTAACTTTCTATTTTCACTCTGCAAAGCCTCAACCTTTTCTCTAACTATGCCATTTTCACCAACATGTACAACAACTTCTGACTTTTCACTCCCCCTTTTGACAATATGCTGAATTTAAATAGAGGAAATTATGATGGTATGAGGTGCAAATTGGCTATGATAAATTGGATAATATCACTTAAATGGGATGACAGGAAATAGGCAATGGCAAACATTCAAAAAGCACATGGGTGAACAGCAACAATTGTTTATTCCTGTCTGATGCAAAAAGATAGTAAAAACCATGGCTTACATGGAAAATTAGACATAATTTTCGAATCAAGAAAGAGGCATAAAATTAGCTAGTTAAAAATACAGACCTGAAGAGTGGCAGTATTTAGAATTCAGCAAAAGGGAACAAAAGGATTGATTAAGAAAGGTAAAATAGAGTATGAGAGTATGCTTGCTGTGAACAAAAAAAAATTACTGTAAAAGTTAGCAAAGTTTTTTTTATTTATTCAGGAGGCATGGGTGTTGCTGGCTGGCCAGCATTTATTGCCCATCCCTAGTTGCCATTGAGAAGGTGGTAGTGAGCTGCCTTCTTGAACTGCTGCAGTCCACAAGCTGTAGGTTAACCCACAACGCTGTCAGGGAGGGAATTTGAACATAGACTATTTCAGTGTCTGAGGAATCATGAATGGTACGGAACATTGCACAAGCATCATTGAACATCCCAATTACTGATCTTATAATGGAGGGAAGGTCATTGATGAAGCAGTTGGAGATGATTGGCCCTAGGACACTACCCTGAGGGACTTCTGCAGAAATGTCCTGGAGCTGAGATGACTGCTGTCTATGTTTGAACCAAGGCATAATAAGAGCTGTGTGGTCCCGGCAGAATGCAAACGGGGCATCACTGAGCAGGTTATTGCTGAGCAGGTGCTGCTTGATAGCGCTGTTACTGACACCTTCCATCACTTTACTGATGATCGAGAGGAGACTGATGGGGCAGTAATTGGCCAGGTTGATTTTGTCCTGCTTTTTATGTACAGAATATACCTGGACAATTTTCCACATTGTCAGGTAGATACCAGTGTTGGAACTGTGCTGGAAAGCTTGGCAAGGGGAGCGGCAAGTTCTGGTGCACAAGTCATCAATACAATTACTGAAATGTTGTCAGGGCCCATAACCTTTGCTGTATCCAGAGCTTCCAACCATTTCTTGAAATCACATGGAGTGAATTGAATTGACTTAAGATTAACATCTGTAATGCCGGGGCCATTGGAGCTGGCTGAGATGAATAATGAATTCAGCACTTCTGGCTGAAGATTGCCGCAAAATCTTCAGCTTTATCTTTCACAGTGATGTGCTGGGCTCTCTGATCATTGAGGATATTTATGGAACTTCCTCCTCCTGTGTTAATTGTCCACTACCATTCATGACTGGATGCGGCACAATTGCAGAGCTTAGGTCTGATCTGTTGGTTGAGGAATCGCTTAGCTCTGTACATCAGAGACTTATGCTGTTCAGCATACAAATAGCTTCACCAGGTTGATACCTCATTTATAGGTATGACTGGTGCTGCTCTTAGCATGCCCTCCTACTCCCTCCGTTGTACCAGGATTGATCTTCTGGCTTGATAGCAATGGTGGAGTGGGGAATATGCCTTTGTATGACTTCAAGGAGGAGATGGTCGGAAGTCACACAACCCCAGATTATTGTCCAACAGCTTCACCTGAAATCACAAGCTTTTGGAGTGCTGCTCCTTCATCAGGTGAAGTGAAGGGTAACACAGGCACAGAATTTATAGGCAGAGAGATCAAAAGATAGTGCAAATGGCCTGAGTGGGGTGTCAACAGGCTGAATAACAAGTCTCTGCAGGTGATCAAAAGTGTTAGATAGTGTGAGTAAAGTGTCAACAGCTGAATAGCAAGTAAAGGGACAACCTATAATCCAATTACTTGAGGCAGAGAGATAATTACTAAAATTTAAAAATAAGACTGTGCTGGAGACAAACCAAATGGCTGGAATTATATGACAGGTATAAGAGTCACGTGCCAAGTGTCAAACCAAAGTAAAAGTACTTGTTGGAAATAGCACTAGGGGCTGAGGGGATCAAAGGACATGGGGGAAAAGCAGGACATATTATTGAGTTGGATCATCAGCCATGATCATTATGAATGATAGAGCAGGCTCAAAGGGCTGAATGCCCTACTCTCACTCCTATTTTCCATGTTTGTACATACTGGTCTGGGAAGAAATGCAACTTGAAACAAACAAATCAGCAAAATTACCTTTACAATGAGCATAGGGCATACTCATCATATAATCTTCTCCTCGGTTGAGGAATGAAAGTCTAGCTTCACCATCTAATATGGCAGATAATGAATTACCTGGAATATAAAAGCAAAGGATAGGTATTATTTCTACACATGAAAGTCTTCCCGCTGCAGTTTGTATCTAAGCACAGTGACCCTGAGTAGGTTATGCATTGTTGGTTTATTCCACCATGACACCTTTCTCTCTAACTCTTCTTCAATCATAGAATCCTGCAGTGTGGAAGCAGGCCATTCAGCCTATTGAGTCCACAGTGACCCTCTGAAGAGCATCCCACCCAGACCCACTCCCTTACCCTATCCCTGTAACCCTGCATTTCCCTGGCTAATCCACGCAGCTTGCACATCCCTAGACACTATGGACAATTTAGCATGGCCAATCCAGCTGACCTGCACATCTTTGGACTGTGGGAGGAAACTGGAGCACCCGGAGAAAACCCACGCAGACACGGGAAGAACGTGCAAGCTCCACACAGACAGTCACCCGAGGGTGGAATGGAACCTGTGAATCAGCAATGCTAACCACTGAGCTACCGTGCCACCTCTAGGCTTGGATCCCATGTTAAGACATGGTTTCACCAATGCTATCTTCATACTGTGCCATATTACAACACCGCAAAATTTGCTAATACTCTCACCCACTTCCATTTAGGTGCCCAGATCACAATCTGAAGATGACAACTTTAGTATATAATTTTCTGTCTAACGCAGGGCTCCAAAAGGTTTCTTAAACAGAACAAGGCACTGCCCTTGAAATCTGAAATGAAAACAGAAACTGCTGGAAAAACCCAGTATGTCTGGCAGCATTTGTGGAGAGAAAGCAGAGATAATATTTCGGGTCCAGTGATGTTTAGAAGGCTCATTATACCTGAAACGTTAACTCTGATTGCTCTCCACAGATGGTGCCAGACCTACTAAGTTTCTCCAGCAATTTTTGTTTTTGTTCCACAGAAGCTACCTGTAGTATCCCTCATATCACCAAAGAAATGAGTGAACTCAGCCATTGTGGGGAATAATGCTTGCATTTATGCAATTAGTTAATGAAAGAGATCACTTCAAAATGTTTTAAAAAAATAGGCAAAACAGCACAGCATGGAGATGAAAAGCAAAATTCATTCAGTTATCAGTCCAGCTCACCACCTGTCTTCAATCTCCTACTCTTCATTGGTGTTCAAGTTATGTCAAACAGATCCAAACACATTCAGAGCACGTTCTGAGGAAGGGTCACTGGACCCGAAATGTTAACTCTGTTTTCTCCTCCACAGATGCTGCCAGACCTGCTGAGCTTTTCCAGCAACTTTGTTTTTGTTCCTGATTTACAGCATCCGCAGTTCTTTTGGTTTACATTCATTATAAATACAGTGTAATTTGTGATAGCTGCCACCAAAAGCACTGGATAGCATCACGGAAAATGCGATTAATTACTTGCTGTTTTAAGATTGTATTACGAATGGGTCAGCTTGGAATTTTTTATAAATACAAAATATCCAGTTCAGTGTCCTGTGCAGGAATACAACTCCCAAATTCCCATGTCACTGCCTAATTTGTTCCATATTTAACTTTTAAGTAGAAACCGTGCTTTCCAGTATCATATATTTTAATGTGTGTTACCCTGTTATCCAAAATTCAACACTTTTTGCATGTGGAACTATTTAACAAAAAAATGATGATTATGATACCAATTGACTCAGCATATTGGAAGATGATTCTTGAAAATATCATTTCTCTTTTTCACTCCAGTAATGTGAATTTACATACACTTTATCACGTTTCTGTGAGAAGTCCCAAAGGGTGAAACAAGCAATCAAACAGCAAGTGCAGTCATGTTGTGGAAGGCAGACATCTCTATTTTAATCTTTCACTGGATGTAGGAGGCAGCTATTATTTCCCATGCCTAACAGCCTTGAGAAAATGGGGTGCGCTGTCGTTCTAAAGTGCTGCAGTCCATGTGGTCTACAATGCTGTTAGCAAAGAGTTCCAGGATATTGTCCTGGTAATGGTGAAGGAATGGTGATATACTTCCAAATCTAGATGAGGAGTGGCTTGGAGGGGAACTCTCAGGGGTTGGTGTTCCCATGCATCATCTGCCCTTGTCGTTCCAAATACTAGAGTTTGTGGGTTTGCAAGGTGCTGTCGAAGGAGTCTTGGAGAATTTCTGTCGTGCATCTTGTGGATGTTACACATTGATCCCATTAAGCATCAGTGATGGGGGAAGTAAATGTGGTGCCAATCGAGTCGACTGCTTTGCCCTGGATGATGGCAGGTTTCTTGAGCATTGTTGAAGCTATACTCATCCAAGCAAGTGCAAAATATTCCATCACTCCCCTGACTTGTACGTTGTTTATGGTCAACAGGCTTTCAGGGTTTAGGTGGCGAGTTATTCATGGCAGGATTCCCAGTGTCTATATTGCTGTTGTAGCCACTATGTTCATATGAATGGTCCAGTTCAGTTTCTGGTCAACGGTAATCCCAGGATGTTAAATAGTGGGGGATCCAGTGATGGTGATGGCATCAAATGTCAAGGGCGATGGTTAAGATTCTCTCTTGTTGGAGATGGTCATTGCCTGGCAATTGCGAAATGCTTATTTTACATGCTACTTTGTCAGCCCAAGCCTGAATATTGTCCAGGTCTTGCTGCATTTGAACATGGACAGCTTCAGTATCTGAGCAGTCACGAATGGTAATAAACATCATACAATCCATCAGTGAACACTTCACTTCTGACCTTATGATGGAGGGGAAGGTCGTCACTGAAGCAGCTGAAGATGCTGGGGACTACCCGGAGAAATTCCTGCAGAAATGCTCTTGAACTTAAAGTTTTGGCAAAGATCTGTAGCTTGGGTTGTGGGTGAGGTTGTTGACTGGCTCGCCGAGCTGGCTTGTTCTTGTTCAGACGCTTCGTCACCATGCTAGATGACATCATCAGTGGAGCATCTGATGAAGCGATGTTATTCTACTCTGTTTGGAATTTATACTGTTTGGTCCGTTATGGTGAGTACTGTCATTTCTGGTTTTGATCTGAATGGGTTTGTATATGGGGTCCAATTCTATGTTTGTTGATTGCATTACGTTGGAGAACCATGCCTCTAGGAATTCCCATGTGTGAATATGTTTGATGTTCTCGATAAGCGAAGACCTGTGGTCATGGTCTTGGGATAAGGGGTCGACCCGCAGGACAGGGATGAGAACGAATTTCTTCTCACTGAGAATGTTGAGTCTGTGGAATTCTCTGCCTCAGGAAATTATTTAGGCCAAAACATTGAAGACTTTCAAGAAAGGTGTAGATATTATTCTTAGGATTAAATATATGACAGAAAGTGGGAATGGGGTACTGAATTGGATGATCATACTGAAACGTGGAGCAGGTTCAAAGGGCTGAATGGCCTACTCATGGTCCTATTTCCTATGTTTGCATGTGAAAAGTTCTAAGTAAGGGGAAACTGGGAAAAAATGAAAGGGCTGGTGTGAAATAGATTTTTTTTTCCCTTTTCCCCACCTTCCCTCTTGCACCAAACCTATTACATTTCTAACCTTTCCTAGTTCTGATCGGATAATGAATCAATAACTTAATATGTTAACTCTGTTTCTCACTCCACAAATGCTGCCAGATCTGTTGAGTATTTATTGCCCGATGAAGGAGTGGTCATTTGAATACCACCTGATACAGGGCGAGCAGGGTTAACAGCGATAAATAACCTTGTAACTGTCAAGTGAACAGGGAGTATAGATCTTGGTTGAACATTTCTTCTAAAGACAATATTACAACATGACACTCTTGAAGGACCACACAAGACTGTCTCAATAGATTATTTGCCCATGTACTGTCAAAGGGCTTCAACACAATCTTTTGATTTAATGAAACTTACCAACTGAGATAAGCCAACCCCAACACTAAGAAATGAACCAAATCAGAAATCTAAACATGTAGCTCTTTTAATAGTTATCTTTCTTTCCTGTACACTTCTATTGAGCTATTGATTGCCTTAATTTATCAGCTTACATCCCCATCAAATCTGGACACCCTGATTTAGCACCTATCTTATCCCACATCGAACACCAGCAGGTGGTAGCCATGTTATCCAACTTCTTTTGGACACAATTAGACTCAACTCAAAGCCGCAAGACTTCGTATTCATAGGTGCTTTTGTATTGTGTCAATAAATGATCATTCTTTGGATGTTACTTCTCATGCTGATAGGCCAATTAGAAACTGTCATCTAATCCTTCGAATTAATTAACAGTCAAAGTCAAGGTTGAAATCTTTAAACATAAACCAACAACCTGGTTTTGATTCAGTATATTCCATATTTCCCCATTTGAAATGAATTCCTTCTCATATCTTCTGTACAACAAAAACAAACTCACCATAAAATTTTGATTTGGCCAAGATGCTGCCAGTGATGCAAAACCCATCTTTTCTATTACTGACATAGAATGCAGACACAGGAGGGTGATGAGACACCTAGAGGGGGGAGACAATTCAGTTATGTTGCAAAAGTAGTTGAATATAAACAAACATTTTGTGAAAATATATTCAAAAGTTCATGATTCAAGTCTCGTACTAATAATGGGAAGCAAGAGACTTTTTGAAGTCTTTTACAGAATTGTACTTTACAACAGTTAACTGATAAGTGAAGGACACCAAAGAACACATTGCAATGATTGTACAAACTGCTTGTGACATTTTCAAAGAGCAACAACAGATTGCCAGTTATTTTTGGAAAAATAACCATAACAAACTATAAATTTAGTAATTATTCTAGCATGACAGCCCATTTCTGATGATTGAATTTCTTTTTTTTAAATACCTGTTCGGCAATGTAAAATGTCCTGCTGTTCGCTTTTGGGTGAATCCACATACACCGGAATGTTTCACCAATAATTGGATTGTATGGTTTTTTCAAGCCCTTTGTGAAAACAAAAAAAAAAAATACGTTTATTGCAAAGAAACTGATTCTTGTCAAAGGAAAACCAAACTTACTAAAAGAACCAAGAATGTATACAGAAAATTTAAAGGTAATTGCTGTTTTTTGCTTGCTAAGGATAAAACAGCAAACTTGTTACTATAAAATGCTATGTCAGCCTCACAGAAGAACACAGACCAATCACATACAATATTTTAAAGTACAAGTAAAGCTGCGAAGCCGAGAAATGATCTATTTATAGTTAAATATTTTCTTATACTCCATACATATGTATGCATAGCCTTTCTGGTTAACTTTACAAATTTCCATGCCTGATAATAATGAAACCAGCATATATCTGGCATTGTACTTCCACAGAAGAATAGGGTGTAGATTTGTTCAGCTTGTTTTGAATTCACTCATGAGATGTGTGCATTGCTGGCTGGCCATCATTTATTATCTATCGCTTATTGCCCTTGAGATGGTGGTGTTAGCTGCCTACTTGAACTTTACAGTCCACTGTGCCATTAAGGAAGGAATTCCAAGATTTTTGACTCAGCGACGGTGAAGGAACAGTGACATATTTCCAAGTCAGGATGGTCACAGGCTTGGAGGGGAACTTGCAGGCGGTGGCGTTCCCATACATCTGCTGTTCTTATTCTTCTAGGTGGAAGTAGTTATTGGTTTGGAGGGTCCTGTCTAAGGATCTTGTAGATAACACACACTGCTTTCAGTGGGGATAATGTGGAGGTGCTGGTGTTGGACTAGGGTGGACAAAGTCAGAAATCACACAACAACAGGTTCTCGTCCAGCAGGCTAATTTGAAAACACAAGGTTTCAGAGCCTGAGTCCTTCTTCAGGTGTTAGTGGGGATGAGAAGTGGACGCTTATGGATGTGGTGCCGAAGGTAGCTTTGTTCTGGATGGTGTCTAGCTTCTTGAAGTGTTTTGGAACTGCACCCATTCAGGCAACTGGGGAGTATTCCTGACTTGTACCTTATAGATGGTGGATAGGCTTTGGAGAGTCAGGTGGTGTGCTATTCGCCACAGTATTCCTAGCTTCTGACCTGTTCTTGTAGCCACTGTTACATGGCGAGTCCAGTTGAGTTTCTAGTCAGTGGTAGTCCCCAGGATATAGTGGGGGATTCAGTGATGGTAACATCATTGAATGTCAAGGGACAGTGGTTAGATTGTCTTCCATTGGAAATAGTCATTGCCTGGCATTTTTGTGGTGCAAATCTTATTTGCCACTTGTTTTGCCTAAGCCTGGATATTGTGCAGATCTTGTTAGATTTGGACTTGGGCTACTACAGTGTCTCAGGAGTCATGAATGGTATCGAACACTGTGCAATCATCCTGAACATCCCAACTTCTGACCTTATGATGGAGGGAAGGTCATTGATGAAGCAGGTGAAGATGGTTGGACCTAGGACAGTACTCCGAGGAACTCCTGCAGAGATGTCCGAGAACTGAGATGACTGACCTCCAACAACCACAACCATCCTCCTGTGTGCCAGGTGTGACTCCAAGCAATGGAGAGTTTGTTGCCTGATTCCCAACTAATTTCAGTTTTGCTCGGGTTCCTTGATGCCACGTTCGGTCGAATGCAGTCTTGATGTCAAGGGCTGTCACTCTCACCTCACCTCTGTAATTCAGCTCTTTTGTCCATGTTTGAACCAAAGCTGTAATGAGGTCAGGAGCTGAGTGGACCTGGCGGAACCCAAACTGGGTGTCACTGAGCAATTTGGGGCACTCTGACATTGAAGCAATTCAGTCTGCACTCTGGACTTAAGCACATAGTCTAGGTTGAGAGAATTTTGTATTATTAATTAAGAGCTGCATATTGTGGATAGCAAATTAACTGAAATCTCTTTGGCAGAGATGAAATTTCCATGGTTCCATTTAAAGGAAGTTCTTCCACTGAGCTCATCAATATGACAATACCTGCCATCACTGCCACACTGTCCAAAGGTGAACAAATTACTGGATTACTTGTCAATTGTGAGATTGTGCAGTGTGTAAGCAATGTCATGTTAGCTTACACAGCAACAGTGATTGCTCATTAAAAGACATCCTTCCGTGTAAGGTGTTGCAATATGTCATGATTATTAACAGCACTAAATTAATACACACCTTTTCTTTCTTTGCATGTTAGTTCAAAGCATTTTGTTCTTCAAATACATAATATTTATAAATTGAACATAAGAGATAGACTTAATCAGAAAGAGCTTTTCTTTCAAGGAGTTGAAGCAATAGATCTAATAAAAACAAACCTTTGGTTTTTTGTAGAAGCCAGACAAATACCATCTTGTCACTTTCTTCAAGCGACTGTATGGGTTTTCCTCTGCTGCAGCTCTGGGAGAAACAAATACTTAGACTTGGTGCATGCCAAATCTGATTGAGACTAATATTATACAAAATAATTCTTAAAGTTTCTCAGATTCTTGTTATATTAGACCAAGTTATTGGAAGGAAATATATTAGGGTTCAAGAGTCCAGTTCTGGTAGCTATCACAGTATTATTCATCAGAAAAGTGTCCTTTTTTCAGATTTAATGCGAAATTCCTTGAAATGGGAATGTGGAGAAGGTTTCCCGAAACCTTACTTATTTGTGATATTTGGTAGATTCCATAACTGTAGGTGTCACTCAGCTGACCTGCGGTTATAAGGACACAATTATCCTCAGCACCTATGATCCAAAGGAGTGATGAAACATCACAAGGCATAAAAACCCTGGGCAGATTTCTAAAGATCCTGATCTTCAATTTCTAAGAACATAAATAATAGTAGCATAAATATGTAATTAAATTCATTGACTCTTCAGACATTCAGTTAAGATTATGCTGTTTTTTGAATATATTTAAGACAGAGATAGATAGGGTTTTGATTGTCAAGGGGATCAAGGTTACGGGGATAAAGCGGGAGAATGAGGTTGAGAAACTTATCAGCCATGATTGAATGGCGGAGCAGACTCGATGGGCTGAATGGCCTAATTTCTGCCCCTATGTCTTGGGTGTTTTTTCCCCCTCAACTTCAATTTTTCTACCTGATCTTCATAATTCCTCAATTTCCTTACAGTCCTAAAAATTAAAACACATTTGCCACTCTTGGTGTCACATCTTCAGAGGATGACAGCTAATATAACCATGTCAGAGGAGGTCTGGAGTGAGGAAAAGGAAAACCATGGGACATAATTGTGGAAATATCTTGGTTCGGGGTTAGGAAGGAAGCAGTTGAAGCTGGGTGGGGTGTCATGGTCATGTCATGAGCCTGTAAATTCGATGGGAAGATGGGATACAAGTTTTAAAAGGCAGCATATAATGTGGACCTTCATAAAATGGGCTCCAGAGGGACACTAACCCTATTTCCAGCTTTTGTTCTACAGCCCTAAAGCTACAGTAATGGATACGAATATCTGAATACTACTTAAATGTTCTGAAAGTTTCTGACTTAGCCACCCTTTCAGGCGGTGAGTTTCTGATTCTCATCACCCACTGGGTGAAAAAATATTTCTCAACTCTCCTGCCCTTTTTGCTCTGATCTTAAATCGATGCCATCATGTTACTGACGATTCTATTAATGGGAAAAAATATACCATCCTATCCACCCTAACTATGCCCCTTATAATCTTACACACCTCTATCAGGTCCCTCTTCAACATATGCTGCTCCAGGGAAAAAGCCCCAGACTATCCAACCTTTCCTCATAGCGTGATCCTCCAGCCCAGGCAGCATCCTGGTGAATATCCTTTACACCCTTTTTGGTGCAATCACATCCTTTCTATAATGTGGCAACCAGTAATGCACCCAGTACTCCAGCTGTGGTCTGCAGTGTTTTATACAGTTCCAGCATAATCTTCCTGCTTTTGCATTTTATGCTTCAGGTAATAAAAGCAAGTATTCCATGTACATTCTTAACCACCTTACCTACCTGCACTGCTACCTTCCATTGAAAAGACAAAGTCACAATGACAGTTAAATCTGCTGGCACCATGAAAGTGCAGCTCAAATAAACAATGTGAAGATAAGGCTGTGGGCCAAATGCTAGAAAATGGGATTACAAGAGTTAAATGATTCTTTTTTAACCAGTGCAATGTGATGGGCCAAAGGGTTTTTTTTTCTCTTGTGTAGAGATGTATGATTCTATCATAATTCATTTGTGGAATACAAGCAAATCAAATCCTCTTCATCATGGAGCAACTGCTAAACCATCAAACCAATGTGTGGACAATGGAAAATATAGATGAACATAGAACAGTACAGCGAAGGACAGGCCCTTCGGCCCATGATGTTGTGCCGACCTATTATCCTACTAAGATCAAACTACCCTGCATACCCTACATTTTACTATCATCCATGCGCCTATCCAAGAGTCGCTTGACTGAATCTGACTCCACTATCACCGTTGGCAGTGCATTCCATACACCCACCACTCTGCGTGAAGAACCTACCTCTGACATCTCCTCTATACCTTCCTCCAATCACCTTCAAATTATGCCCCCTTGTAATACTCATTTCCGCCCTGGGAAAAAGTCTCTGACTATCCATTCTATTGTGATACTGTTCAGACATATGACTGAAATTGGCTTGTGATGAGAAAAATTTGAAAGTACCTTATTATTGATAAGAACTGGCCAGGACAAGGTGGCAGGGTAGCTCAGTGGTTAGCACTGCTGCCTCACAGCGTCAGAGACCCAGGTTTGATTCCAGCCTCGGGTGACTGTCTGTGTGGAGTCTGCACATTCTTCCTGTGTCTGCGTGGGTTTCCACTCGGTGCTCCAGATTCCTCTCAGTCCAAAGATGTGTAGGTTAGGTGGACTGGCCAGTGTAAATTGCCCCCTAGTTTCCAGGGATGTGCAGGTTAGGATGGATTGGCCATGGGAAGTATGGGATTACGGTGATAGAGTAGGGGGAGGTTGGGGCAGGTCTGGGCTGGATGCTCTTTCGAGTATAGGTGCAGGCTTGATGTGCTGAATGGCCTCTTTCTGCACGATTGAGGTTCTGCGGTTCCATGACAGGCCCGTTTGTCTTGTGAAAATTAGAGGGAAGTCATCTCTCACCAGCATGAAAAGGGGACCATGCCTTAAAGTAGTTACTTCAGGCAGAGAAGAGAGGGTTACTTCTTTTAGATGCAAGATTATAGCTTTTCACAACAGGGAGCTTGGTCAGCATTGATTAGAATGCCAGAAACCTGGGGTTGATTGGCACGGACCAGTGTGAATTTTCACAAAAGACCTCCAACTTTCATTTTTTTTTCCAGTATATCGAGACAGGGTCTGCAACATCTCAAATACTATCCACACAATCAGAAGTGACTTTTCACAAAAAACATTACGATAACTAGTGCATGCTAAATCTTCAGAAATTACTTTTTCATATGTGCACGTGCATCCGTGGGAATGAGGAGTGGGTGATTGTTGCACTGACATGTGGTCAAATAAGATTTAGCCTTTTTTTAATTTAAACTTCTGAGAAAGCCTATTTGGATCAGACACAAGAGACAAAGTTCCCAAGGTGCATTTTGTCGTGGTCATTTGCAAGGTGAGAAAAGAGGAAATTATCACACCTTTCCCCTCTGCAAATCGGGGGATGAAACAAAATACCTATGTCAGCAGAGTGTACTCACTGTGATAGAAAGTCTGCATGGTAGTAATAGTCTGATAACTTGTCTAGGAATGACCTCGGCTCCAGGATAAATGTAGGCAGCACTACTTTCGAGAGGTCCATTCCTGGCCGAACTTGTTTCAGGAGAGTCCATATCAGACTTTTGTTTTCTTCAGATACAACTTCTGTCTGAGAATCTTCACCTGTCTTTTTTTTTGTGGAAAAGGGAAAAAGAAAAGAAAATAATGTTTTTCCAAACATACTCCCCAATCAACTGGGGATGGAATTAGACTGGGCAACTTACTTTGCATGCAGTAAACATGTTGGCAGCATTTTTTTGTTGCAGAAAATTAAATTGAATTCTGCAAAGCTACAACATTAGCAAATTGATATGAATTATGAAATTTGCACTATACTTCTAATTGTTTTGTCAACATTACATGTCGCCCCATGAAAGGCAACAGAACATCAAACACGTTATATCCATCAACCACTGTGTTACAACATCCACATTATATCTATCCACCTAGCAGTGTGTCACCTCTTTGGATAAACATTTATAAGTTGGAAAATAATAAATTACGGAAGAAAATTGGAAATGCAGGAAATCAAAATTTCCTCTCTCACTACTGCACCATCATGTCAAACAGGAAGAAAACTTGCTGGTCAGGTTAATTCCTGGAGGTCGTAGCAGTGATGCAAGACATGGAAACCTCCATAGATAGAATCACAGGAAACAACAGAGACCTGGGCTCTTGTTCTGTATATAAACAGCAAGTAATATATTATATCACAGCATCTGCAGCTCTTGTTCTCTCGACTCTCAAAGACGAACCTTCCAGGGAGGGTAACGAAAACAGCCCAAAGGCTCTGAAGCTCTCCCTAAAGCATGGTGACATTGATCTGAGGAAGGGTCACCGGATCTGAAACATTAACTCTGTTTTCTCCTCCACAGATGCTGCCAGACCTGCTGAGCTTTTCCAGCAACTTTGTTTTTGTTCCTGATTTACAGCCTCCGCAGTTCTTTTGGTTTTTATGTGACATTGATCTTAACGGCTGGGCAGAGTTTGCTACCAGACGTTTAAAATGAGAACCGCTTGTGCATCAAGTTATATCAGACATGTTCAAAATTTGACATTCAGCCTGTAGAAATTATTACAGCAGACGACCAAAAGCTTAGTCAAAAATAAAAGTTTTAAGGAGCATTTTAATGGAGAATAGGGTAGAAGAGAAGTAGTGGCAGCAAGGAATTTGAGAGCCTAGGGACAATAGAGCACAGCAGCCAATGGTGGATGGCAATACAGCCGTACTGATGAGCAAGAATGACATCAAATCTCCAAGGAGTTGTACTTTCAGCTAAACCTTCAGCACCTGGTCCGCCCCTTCTCACCAATGTCCAGGGTCACCCAGACAATGAAACATCAATGTTTTAATAAATAAGAAAAAGTTGCTGGTATGTAATGAAATGTAATATTCCTCATTTTAATCAGTTTAGGAATCACGTTGAATAAGGAGGGTGTGATGGTGAATTCACCAACGGTTAAAACATTAATATACATACACTTTACTCTTAGCACATATCATGCGATCTGTCAATGATTTGTTTATGAATGGTACACTGAAACCTCAGTGTGCCACCTTCAGCATGTACTACCCGAGTGGTAAGCACAATGCATACTTATTCAACCACAGATCATATCAAAAAGTGGATGGTGATGGAAACTCCTTAGTCTGGTCAAGAGAGGCACAGTCTGAGGAGTGGGCAATTGTTAGCCAGCAGAAGCAGTCAGGGTCCTAAAAGACAGCTTCTGGTGTCTGGTCGGTCAAGTCGAGGGGCTGTTTGAGGTCGGGGCATATACAGTCCTGAGGGTCAATGCTTTGAAGGAGGAGGATGTATGTGTGGATTTGTACAGCCAAAAGGGGGATCACAGCTAAATGGGGTGGAGGAGTTAACAGTGCGCTTGAAACAGAGCTAGGTATGGGGAGTGTTAGAAAGACAAGGACAGTAGCAGGGAAAAACTCAATGTACATTGGGGGTTTGGGGTAAGAGTGATAGCATTGGAGAACATGGCAGGTTATGGGAAGGGAGAGTTTATTGGCAATGCGCACCAGTGGCCTCCACAGGGGGAGCATAGAGGATTAGTGTGGACATCATTGAGGTACCATGTCATGGCTCAGAGGACAGGGAGTTTGAGGCAAACTTCACTATGGCGGGTCTCCAAATGAGTGGAAAGAGACTGTCAGAGTAGTTGGAGGTAAAGGAGCATGGAAACTGGTGCGGGGAGGTGATGGAATACCTGGCAATGAGATGGAGATCGGAGCCAATGGTGTTTGCCACAAGCTGTGTTCCTGGCCATCACTCACCATTCTCTAAATATGAAATGCAACTGAAAAATAGCTGGAGCAACACTCAAGGTGGACACGGTCAGTGTCAGTTTGAGGCTGGAAACATGGGATCCATGTGTGCTGGACGTTAGGGCATTGAAGGGACATTGAAATTTCCGCCTTTATATTCAATGGTTTGGTTCATTTTTCTGTTTTAAGATGGTGCTGAAGAGTGGCAACACTTTTCACCATATTTTGTAACAAAATACACATGACAATAAATAAACTTTTAAAAATCTTGCTTCATCACCAATTATCTAAGCTTAATGATGGTCTGTTCTGAATGCAATGAAAGGTTTCATGGCAGATGTAGGTCTGGGAGGGGAAGGGAATCAGAGCACAGTAGGCATTCTTTTTTTAATTTCACGTGTTGGCCACTCAGTGGGTGCAGCATCTTCAATTTGGTGCCCATGCTGAGGTTAAAGATGAAAGAATGATGGAGACATGGTCCTCATTATCAGGTAACAACATGACTCTCATAAATGGAGGTGTGTGTGTAGCCCTTGTCTGGATGGTTTACCACCACTGACTGCTCTGAGGCCTAGAATCTGCTCCACTCGATGTTCCTAACACAGTTTGTTTAAAACAAACGGACAGAGTGCTGGAGAAACTCAGTAGGTCTGGCAACGTGTGAAGAAAAAAAGTGTTATTGTTTCAAGTCTGACATGACTTTGCTTCAGAACTTAGTGTATTTCCAACAAGAGCCTGTCTCAAACCTGTGGTGGGATATTGGTTGCCTTCCCAAGAAGGCGAAGGCAGAGAAAGGAGGATCAGAGCAATGAAAAGCCCAGGAGCAGCAGAAGGCCTGGGGCCCTCAGGATGCATGGGGTCCATCGGAAGGTCAGAGATTTTTGTCCTCAATTCCATTTTCTCAGGATGACCAAGGCACAGTGGTGGCACAGGTTCCCTATGTCCAGAAAGACTGTGCCAGATGCTGGAGTGGGACTCAAGGACTGGGAAACTACCCTCTCCCGGGGCTGTGAAGGGACAGCCGCTAGATGTTGACTGGCTCTTTTCAGGGGACGATGGACGATCTGTGTGGGATTGCTCAGTCGTGCTCCAACAAATACATCGGGACAGTGCCCGATGACATCTGTATAAGATCACACCGATTCACTTTGTTCCCCCATAACAGGGTCAATGCTGCAACCCAGACAGTAGGATTTGGGAACACAGTTGGCTTCCCCCAGGTGCCAAGAGCTAACAACTGCCTATACCTGGCATTGACAGGACCATATTACAATGCTGCAGAATTCATCAGCAGGAAGGGGTTCTATTCCATTCATGTTCAGGTGATGTGTAATCACTGTCATCTCTTCCTAGAGGTGTTTTTGCTCACTACTCTTGCAACTGCAATGACTCCTGTTTCCCGCAACACTCTTATCTACTTGGTGCAGGTCCTTACAACGCTAGCTTTTGGGGGACGAGGGGCTACCTACTGCATCTTTCGCTCATTTGAGCTTGTGAAACCCCTGACCCCTTTTGGTGACTGTAAATAAAAGTTCATCTTTGCAACTGTCTAAATGCGATGCTCTCCAACGGGACTCTCAAAGGGTCTGGATCTCTTGTAGGCCTTGGGGTCAGAGCAGCAGTGTTTTAGACAGTGACATGATGGAATGCAGCTAACAAGAGGTAAACTACGTGCGTGGTGTTTAAACAGTGAGTAGCATGAGAGAATGCAGTTGTCTGGATGTCGGAGTGTAACTTGCGCTGACTATGTTCTGTGGCTTCATGGTTGCTGTACCATTATGTTCCTGGTGAGGGGCAATGCCACACTGATTGCCAATACTTGTCTCGGTGCACAGCATGGAGTACAATGGGGTGGAACTGGATGGGAGAGACACTGTGGAGCCAAGGTCTGTAGTTAATGTGGTGAGGTTAGTAAAATACAGTGAGAAATCTCACTAGGGCTTGCAGAAATAATTTTAAAAAAAGACTCAACTCAGAATTAGCCAAAACAAAAAGATTCACCCCATTATATCCAAGGCAGCTTCTCTTACCTCTCCCAATTCTTCATGGCTTTCTTCAACATAACTTGTTTCCTTAACTGTATCCACAGGCTGCAGATCACTGTACAGGTCATCATGTCTTTCTGATATGTCAGAGTCACTTTCCTCACTTTTTCCGCTTTTCTCAAGTGCATCATTATCTGATTCCTCATGATCAGGCTCATTCTCACGATCTGACTTATCCGAGTAAAGGTCATGGTCTCTGAAGTGCTGCTGTTCTATCTCACTTTCATTTAACCTGAAAAGACAGTTTACCTTATTTCAACTGGAGAAGTAAATGTTCATTCTTAAGGGGGTCTGTTGTGCAGGGGTGGTGTCCCCACTTCTGAGAAAGGAGGCCCGGTAGAAGTCTGATTTACTTCAGAGCTGTGTGATAACATCTCTGAACAGGTTGATCAGAAAATATCTAAAGGTTGATTCTCCTTTAATGGGCTACTATTAACTGAAAAGTTGTAACAAACCCCAGCTTCTGTATCAATAACATTGCTGAGTCAGCAGCTGCAGAATTAATGCATCAACCTTATTGGCGTGAACAACAACTTGCAAAAAGCATTTCAATATTCTGGTCAATGGGACTTGTGAAACAAGTGAGACTGGGCCACTTCTTGACCCAGTTAGCCCATCCTCAAAAGAGGAATAAAGCACTAATTGTTGGAAAAATTATTTTTAATATCTAACATTCCAGAATAATTCATCAATCTTCCTTAGATCTCTGTAGCCACATATGGCTTCTTGAGGATTACATTTTTGAGTAACTAGTGATGTATTTTTGAGTTCAGCATTAGAACTAGCAGGAGTATGGTCCCTGTGACATTTCATTCAATTTTCTATCAATTCACATCTGCAAAACTGCACTTGATTTTATGGCACAGCATCTTAAAAGCATGAATGTACCACATCTCAAAGTGACTCACCCTTAAGTGGCTTTTAAAATAATCACAGCATGAGTATACAATCTTGAAAATAATTGTCCATGTGATCAGGTCCAACTAATAGAAAACGTGTACCTACTTCAAAGTACACAGGCTAACATTTTGGAAATCAGTGTTACGATTTGAATAAGCAGCAAGGAGCACAAACATACTTCAACATTTCACATTGAAAGGGAGCTGGAATATAGGATCGTAGATCAGCTTATGCCATGGCTTAATTACCAGAATCAAACACCTTTCTAATCTGGTATTCACTTTTTGAGAAATCTTGATCAATCTGGAACCTTGATTCAGTTAATTAATAATTAATCATAATGGCCTGGACTCTGTGGTCAGTGAGAAAGCAATGCTTTTCATCTCTGATGTTGAAGAAATGTATCCACAGAGATCTGGCAACCTCTGCTGCACCGACTCCACCTTTCCTGAAAGCTGTTTGAATCCAGCACCAAGTCAAGAAGATCTCCAGACACGAAGCAACAATGATGTTGGCAACAAAAACAGAAATTGCTGGAAAAGTTCAGCAGGTCTGGCAGCATCTGTGGAGAGAAATCAGAGGTAGTGGCTCGGGTCAAGTGACCCTTCTTCAGAATGATGCTGGTAATCCAGGTAAGCAGCCTTTCGCAGGACAGACCCAGCAGAGGTGGCAACATAGTGGTACCCATTCAGGATAGAGTTAACTTAGGAGACTCAACTGGGACTATGGACCTCATGAAATCTCATAGCGTAGGCAAGGAAAGTCCCTGCTGATTATCACGCACCACCTTCCCATACCTAGTGAATCAATACCCATTCATGTTAAACACCAACAGGAAGCAGCATTGAGGGTGACAAAGGCTCAGAACGTACTTTGGATGGAGAACTTTAACGTGGTTTCCCAAGAGTGGATCGGCAGCACCATTATTGACCAAAATGATCAGGTCCTAAAGGACATAGCTGCTCGACTGGTTCTCTGGCAGGCAATAAGGGAATCAACAAGAGAAAAAAAACATAGTTGACCTCATTCCCACCAAAATGTTTGCCACAAATGTATCTCTCCATGACACTATTAGTAAGAGCGACCACTGCACATGCCTTACAGAAACCAAGTTTTGTCTTCAATCTTCCTAAATGCTATGTTCAAACAAATCAGGAAACGTTCTTTTTAATTCACTCATGGGACGTGAGTGTCTCTGGCTGGGCCGGCATTTGTTGCCTGTCCCCGACTGCCGAGCACAGTTTTTCATCCAGAGCATAGTTTAGAGTCAAATCATTGCTCTGGGTCTGGAGTCACATAGAAGAAGAAGAATCCCTACAGCGTGGAAGCAGGCTATTAGGCCCATTGAGCCCACACTGACCCTCTGAAGAGCAGCCTACCCAGACCCACCCCATCCTTGTAACCCTGCATTTCCAATGGCTAATGCACCTAGCCTGCATACCCTGGACACTATGGGAAATTCAGCATGGCCAATCTACCTAACCTGCATATCTTTGGACTGTGGGAGGAAACCCATGCAGACACAGGGAGAACGTACAAATTCCACACAGACAGTCGCCTGAGGATGGAATTGAACCTGGGTCACTGGTGCTATGAGGCAGCAGTGTGAACCACTGAGCCACCATGCTGCCCGTGCTAACCTAGACATGTATGTTAGACCATGTAAGGATGTCAGATTTCCTTCCCTAAAGGACATTAGTGAATCAGATGGATTTTTCCAACAATCAACAATGGTTTCATGGTTATAAAAGATGACGCAGTGGCACAGTATTTAGCACTGCTCCCCCACAGCGCCAGGTACCCAGGTTCAATTCCACCCTCAGGGGACTGTCTGCGTGGAATTTGCACATTCACACCGTGTCTGTGTGTGTTTCTGCCAGGTGCTCCAGTTTTCTCCCACAATCCAAAGATACACAGGTTAATGTTTTAGAGTAGATTTGTAGCTTGGGTTGTGGATATTGTGGTTGGTTGGCTCACCAAGCTGGTTCGCTGTTCCACAGATGTTTCATTACCCTGCTGGGTAACACCCAGTGGGCATCAGAGTAGCACACAAACCCACATCAACCTTTCGCCAAGTGTTCACCCGAGCCAAAGACCCACTACCCACTATGGACAGGACCAATGTCATATACAAGATTCCGTGCAGAGACTGTGACAAGCACTACATTGGACAAACAGCAAGGGAATTAACCACAAGGGTACACAAACATCAATTGGCAACAAAAAGATATGACCAGTACTCACTCATCTCTATCCACATGGATAAGGAAAACCACCAATTCGATTCGGACAACACCAGGATCCTGGGACAAGCAAAGCAGAGACAAGCACGGGAATTCCTAGAAGCCTGGTACTCCACTAGAAAGCCATCAATAAACACATAGAGCTAGACCCCATCTACACTTCATTGCGAAGGAAAACCAAAACCAAACGTGCAGCCTGGAATCTCCGGTACTCTACCATTACCATCAAGGATAGTCTATTGAAGAACGCAGGAGGGCACGCTGATAAATAAGGCATCAACCTGATGAAACTATAAAACTGGATTAGAATCACAGAGTCATCCAGTACGGAATTGGTCATTCAGCCCACCAAGTGTAACCAATCACGGAGTGCAGGTGCAGATCATCACGTGAAAATATGATATAGTGATAAAACCAGAGGACCTGGCTCAAAGAAGGGCAGCACTGGATATGAAATTTTCCTGGATACAAGGTGTTCAGTAGACAAAGGAAATGAGGAGGATTATTAATAATTTATTAGGGATAATATTGCAGTGCTGCAGAGAGAGATTGCCCCAGAGGGGTCAACCTCTGAACATCTTCAATGAGAGATAAAAGATGCAATTACATTGCTCAGCATAATCAAAAGGCCATCAATACAGGTAACAATGTACATTCACAAACTGACAAAAAATTATAAAGATGGACAAGAATTACAGAGGAGTTGAAATGCTGTTCTATAATTGGATTATTGACACAATGTACAATCCTCAAAGTGAAGTATCGTGGTATAAGATAGCTATTCTGCTCCAGTGAAAGGAATAACTAGCTACAAGATGCACGGGTAGCTAAATCATTTTTTTTTGGTGGCATTAGCTAACATAGAAATGTTATCAGAAATACTGAAAGAATTCCCAACTTTTCAATTCATGCCGGCTGGACTTGAACATATACCTGAACTGCCAGAATAGGGTGATAGGGCCCCAATTAAACATGTACATATGAGGACAGCAGCACTCTATGAAAATTACATTTGCCATTCAGAAGACAACCAATCTCACAACACTTTCAATAGCATACGTCAAAGTTAAATATAACCAAAGGTAAATGATTGAATAATGGTTCTTTCCTTTCTACAACTGGATATGATTTCCTTCACTAAAGAAATGATTAAAAATAAGAAAAAGTCATGAATAGAACACTTTTCATGTCCTTTAGTTGCCCAAAGTACTTTAGTCGCCCAAAGTACTTTAGTCAGAGAATTATCTTTGAAATGAAGTTTTTCCTGCCATGTAGAAAACATGGCAACCAATGTGGACAAACCAGAATTCCACAGTCCAAAGTGCTATTGATCAATTAATCTGCTTCAGTGGCATTGTCTGAACAGCAAGTAGTGACATTTACATATAAAATTCCATTCTACCAAATTGTCGCTTCATCAGTTTAATTTGGAAAGCCAATACATTTACACCTGTACAAGGTGCTGGTGAGGCCACACCTGGAGTACTGTGTGCAGTTTTGGTCTCCTTACTTGAGAAAGGATGTACTGGCACTGGAGGGGGTGCAAAGGAGGTTCACTAGGTTGATTCCGGAGTTGAGGGGGTTGGCTTATGAGGAGAGACTGAGTAGATTGGGATTATATTCATTGGAATTCAGAAGATTGAGGGGGGAATCTTATGGAAACATATAAAATTAAGAAGGGAATAGATAAGATAGAAGTAGAGAGGATGTTTCCACTGGCAGGTGAAGCTGGGACAAGAGGGCATAGCCTCAAGATTAGAGGGAGCAGATTTAGGACTGAATTGAGAAGGAATTTCTTCACCCAGAGGGTTGTTAATCTATGGAATTCCTTGCCCAGTGGAGTAGTTGACGCTACTTCAGCAAACGTTTTTAAAGATAAGGTAAATTTTTTTTGAACAATAAAGAAATTAAGGGATACGGTGAGAACACGGGTAAGTGGATCTGAGTCCACGAAAAAATCAGCCATGATCTTATTGAATGACGGAGCAGGCTCGAAGGGCCGGACGGCCTACTCCTGCTCCTAGCTCTTATGTAATCCCGGAAATTAGAGAATGCGTGTTTCAAAGACAAATCTATAATAAGTGATGCTGCAAAGTTGGTATAGTACTTATGGATTGGAAGTCAAGATGTTGGAATTTGTTTGTAAAATAATGAGGGGGGGCATGGGGACAAGAGTGCGTGGTCCCTTTAAAAGGTGTGTTTTTCATGCTTGGAGGTTAAAAAAATGTCTGTGGGCAGTAGCAGATGCACAGAGTTCTTGAAATTGAAACACTGCATCAAAAGACTATGCTGTTAGCAGGCAAAGCAGCATTTTTACCAAAACAACAGGTCTTTGAATTTAGCCAATTAATTTAAACTAGGCCCTATGTAACAAAGCTCAATTAAACTTAAATTTCATGGTTTTGACAACTTTGGACCAATACTACTATAAGAAATTAATAGGTCATCAAGGGTATAAAAGAAGACGACATTTGAAAATCAGAGTGAAAGCAAACTGCCATCTATTAAGAGAACAGCTCTCAACAGCCATCAGCTCTAAAGAAAGAGGAAATCACTGGCTCTCACAGAAATCTCTAAGATCTCAGAGTAAGCACCATCTAGATGAAGGTACTATGGCACTCTTAGCTAATATTCATGACACAAGAATTTGATGGAGGAAGGTGTTCCTGACTGAAAGACAAAGAAAAAGGCAAAAAACATTCCGGAAGACATACTGGCTGCAATTTCGAGAGATTAAGCTTCAATTTTTTTTTTTAATTTGGTTTATATAAGTGGGTCTTGAATCTATTGGAACAGCATACCATTAGAATTTTGTTTTATTTGGGAATAGTTAAGGGGGAATTGTTTGGTCTGTTATTAGTTCTGTTAATTTGTTAACTGTTAGAGTTAGATAAATAAATTATTACTTGTTGATTATAAAGTGAGTATCAGGGATTTCCTACATTTAACCACTCCTTTAATAGCTTACGAGGCAAGGCGAGCTTCTCTGGGTGTTTCAGTTTTAGTTATCGGGTCGGGGGGGGGGTCGACCACTCCTTCCTAGCAGAGCATTTTAACTACAGCCTCAGTATTACTTCAGGTGCCAGAGCGCTTGGTTTCTGAATATGCAGCTCTTCACATTTCTCAACAAATGACACGAATCATAAGATGCTGAAGTAGGAGTAGGCCATTCAACCCATTGAGTCTGCTCAATGAGATTATGGTTGATCTAATAATCCTCAACTTCACTTCCTGCCTTTACACCAAACCCTGATTCCCTTCCTCATTAAAAATCTGCCTGTTTCAGTCCTGAACATACTTAATAACCCAGCTTTGAAAGCCCTCTTCACGGTTCCACAGATTCAATGCCAGCTGAGAGAAGAAATTCCTTTTCATCTCTGCCTTAAATATATGACCCCTTATTCTGAGATTATGCCCCTGATCAGAGACTCTCTCACAAAGGGAAACAACTTTTCATAACTACCCTCTCAAGTCCCCTTGGCTTGCATATTTCATAAGGTCACTTTTCTATTACAGTTTAATACAGGCCTAACCTACTCAACCTCTCCCCATCAGAAGGTATTCCATACCTATATAAGCCTAGTGAACCTTCCCTGATCTGCTTCCAATGCAGTATATCTTTGATAAAAGGGCCAAAACTGTTCACAGTATTCCAGTTGTGGTATATTTCAGCAAAACCACCCTACTTTTGTACCCCATTCCCTTTGAAATGCTAAAAAAATGCATGAAACTCCTCAGTAAACATTTAATATCAAGTGCCAAAAGAATCACTTACTGGTCATGTTCTGGATTTTGGAGAGCATTTGCTCGCAGTAGACCAAAAAGCGCCACATGGCAGTTTTCCGAGGTGTAAGGATCAGATTCTTTGCCTTCTCTAATCATCGTTCGTTTAAGGAGACTTGAACACTTCAGCGCAAGTTCCAAAGCATCCATCCAACATCTTCCTGCATAAGTTTGAAAGGTAGATAGTGAAGAACTGAACAGAGGATTTTAAGTCTCTCTTCACTTCTAAGCTTTTATTCATGGAAATAAATTACATATTGTGCAATTCCAACCAAACCTCTTTGCAAACAAATGAGTATAATCCTAGAACTCACCACCTGGACACAATTAACCCTGTGTGACTGGAGGTTGATGTCCAATGGCATACCACAGGGATCAGTGCTAGGTCCCTTATTGTTCATGATGTACGTAATAATGATATAGATGAGAATGTGGATGGATGCTAATTAAGCTTATGGGTGACTCAAAGAGTGGCCAGGTGGTTGACAGTAAGAAAGAAGGTCTTAGGTTACACAAGGATATAAATTAATTGGCCAGTGGACAAATCAGTGACAGATGGAATTTAAACCTGACAAGTTTGAGGTGATATACTCTGGAAGAAGAAACAAGGCAAGTGAGTACTCAATGAATGGTAGGACACTAGGAAGCTTAGAGGACCAGAGGGATCAAGGGATTCTTGTTCATAGATCCCTGAAGTCAGGCAGGACTGGTTAGAATCACAGAGTACAGAAGAGGCCATTCGGCCAATCGAGTCAGAACCACCAACGCATACATGACCACCTCTCCTAGTCCCACTTTCCTGCACTAGGTCCATAGTTCTATGGTCACCAAACTGATCTTGTGGCACAGTGACAGTGTTCCTGCATCTGAGTCAGGAGGTCTGGATTCAAGTCTCACCTGCTTCAAAGGTTTGTCATAACACATCTGAATAGGTCTATTAAGAAGTATCTAATGTCACATGTGAAGGGCTGTTGTGATGCAGGGTACTTTGCCTATCTTTGGGCCATAACGTCTGGATTCAAGTCTCCCCTGCCTCAAACATGTGTCATAACATGTCTGAACACGTTGATATAAAGACATCTATTGTCAATATGGCTGATGAAAAGAAAAGACATCAAACCTCCAAGAAGGGCACAAAGAAAATCATCAAGTCGCCAGTGAAGAACGGCAAGAGGAGAAGAAAATCAAGGAAATAAAGTTACTCAATCCTCAAAGTGATGAAGCAGGTTCACCCCAAAACTGGCATCTCCTCCAAGGCCATGAACATCATGAGCTTGTTTGTCAATGATCTTTTCAAGTGCATTGTGCGGGAGGTTTCCTGCCTGGCCCATTACAACTGGCGCAGCACCATCAGCTTCTGGGAGATCCAGACCGCTGTGCGCTCCTGCTACCCAGGCAGCTGGCCGAACAAGCCAAGTCAGAGGGCATAAAGGCAGTGACCAAAAAACAACTCCAAATGAAATACCAGTGTTCTGAAAATAAAAATATCTACAATTAGAGGTTGGGGACCTTTTGGCACAGTGGTAGTGTCGCTACCTCTGAGCCAAGATGCTCAGGATCAAGTCCCACATTCTGCAGAGGTGTATAGTAACATCGATGAACAGGTTAATAAAAAAGTATCTATCTCCAATTAATAGGGCACACATGACTGAGATCATGAGAGCCATGGACTGCCCATAAAGTTGAATTTTCTGGAGGATAGTTTCACCACCAGTGTGAAGAAGACTGTTTGCCTTGTGCCCAGCCATAAAAATCTCATGGTGCATGTCAGGGTTTTTCGGTGGAAACTTTCCAGAGTTTTAACGTGGCACATCTCACAGACCCAGGATTCTGTGCTATACAGCACAGTGAAAAGGACAATGGCCTATTGGAGTTTGATTTTAGTTGTCAGTTTAATGTCATGCCATGCTGCTTTCAGCACACTTATTCAGTCGTCTGTTGGGTGGATTTGTTTTCTGGAAATATCATTGCTGGAATCCTGAGAAAGTACACTACAAATGTGAGAATTTTTTTCCACAACCTTGAGAATGGTGAATCAATGGCTATCTCTAATGCTTTACAGCCTCCACCTGGTGCTGTTTGAATTGCAAATTTGGATTTGGTGAAACTTACTTGGAGACAAAACATTTTATGATCACTCAAGAATTTGTTCACCACAGTCTGAATGTTCTTGTTGTTCACAGGTAGGACGCAGTCACTCGCATACAGAAGCTATCTGATTTTGCCTCTGGGACCTTGATGGAGGAATACAGTCTGGGAGAATTGAACAGCTTCCGTTAATGGAACCTAATGTTCATGCTTGTAGGCATGTCTCTGCAGCTTCTTTCAGTATTACAGCAAAGAAGATACTGAAGAGCTAGGGAGTTACATGCATCCTTGCTTCATGCCACTTGCTGCCACAGAAAGCAGCAGATAACTCATCACAAGCGCCAGCACATCTAGCCACGCCATTATGTATTTGGTTCAGGATTGCGACAAACTTATTCAGTGATCCTAGCTTGGAGTTTGCCATACATCACTGTTGAAAACCTCAGTTGGATCTACAAATAGCATATATAGACCCAGAGATAACACAGTGTGGAGCTGGAGGAACACAGCAGGGCAGGCAGCATCAGAGGAACAGGAAAGCTGATGTTTTGGGTCAGGACCTTTCTTCTGCCTGACCTGTTGTGTTCCACCAGCTCCACACTGTGTTATCTCTGACTCCAGCACTGGCAATTCTCACTATCTCTGTATAGATCCAGATGTTGCTTTCTGCAGTTTTCTTGTATTTGCCTCAATGCAAACACTGTACTGTGTTTGTTCCAGTTATCTGAAAGACCTGATTCTAGAAGAACATCTACAAGTCTGTAAAGTAAGCAGTTAAAACAGAAAAACAAAACAAAAGAACTGTGGATGCTGGAAATCTGAAACAAAAACAGAAATTATTGAAGAAACTCAGCAGGCCTGACAGCATCTATGCAGAGAAAGCAGAGTCAATGTTTTGGGTCCAGATGCTGCCAGACCTGCTGAGTTTCTCCAACAACTTCTTTTTTTGGACAGTTAAACAATATCCTTGCAAGTGTAACAGTACAGCACTTGCTAACAAATGTACATTCATCTTCAAGAGACTCTGAGAACAGGAAGAAGTTAGACAGGACCTTACGACGTAAACATAGTCGGCAACTGGAAGCAGAAAGGATCCAAAGATATGTGACAAACATGTTTAGTTGAAATATTCTAATTTATGAACCATCACAATAATAGTGAGAAATAAGTACCTATATCTGTATTCATCAAATAAAATCAATAAAGTCAGAAGTCACACGGCACCAAGTTATAGACCAACAGGTTTACTTGAAATCACAAGCTTTCGCAGCCGTGCTCCTTTGTCAGATGAAGTGAAGAAATGCACACAGGCACAGAACTTATAGGCAGAGAGATCAAAACATCATAAAAACAGCATGAGTGGACTGTTGACAGGCTGAAACCAAGTCTCTGCAGGTGATAAAAGTGTCAGATGGTTCAAAGTGGAGCAGATCTCCAAGTAGGTCATGCTAGTCGGCACAGACATCAAGTTCCTGCAGCAATGCAAGAAAGCACAGTAGATCCAAAAACAACTACAGGTCACGAACCCACTCAAGTCAACCTACAACACAGATTACACAGAGCGACTCTGCTGTCGCATGTCTCGCACACTCCTCAATATCCTGTACACCAGCTCTACAGCAGGCACCACAGCCTTGAAATCGAGATGGAGTCCATATTCACAGCTTGCACTCAGGATACAGTGGATCAGCTATAAGACACTGCCAAGCAGATGAAGGAACTGAACTACATCATCTACCTGCACACCAAGAACAGGAAACTGGAGAAACTTGGCATCACCACCAGCAGTAACCAAGCCTTCCAGCACCGCGGTTGAAACTGGTATCGCCACAGGGAAATCCATTGTCAACTTGGCTGACGACACGTTTCAACCAAACAAAATCGAAGTTCTCATCCAAGGGCTCAACTTCTGCCCACGACCAAAATAGACCCCATTGGTTTTGTGGCAGACACAGAGGAATTCACCAGGCGAATGAGGCTCTGGAAATTCTTCCACAAACCCCAAGACATCAAAAGATCCGTAGTGCAGCAGCCAAAGAAGAAAGAGTCAAATTGGACCCCTCTAAAAGGCCACTTCCCTAGGCTTGACAAGTATGCTCAAGCCGTCAAAAGATGCATTAACACCAGATTCATCGTTGGACGGACTACTGCAAAGAAGGTTACCGATAACTGAACAACCAAGAACACGACAAACAACTACCTGCCGATCTGACCAAAGTACACACCCATCAACTCAATAGACTGATCAAGGCCTTTGATCCAGACCTTCAGAGTATCCTATGCACTGTCATCCCATGTACTTCTCTCATAGGAGACTTCTACTGCCTTCTGAAGATACACAAGCCAACACACGTGGACATCCCACTGTAGCGGGCAAAGGGACCCTGTGTGACAACCTCTCTGGCTATGTCGCAGGCATCTTAAAACCCATTGTACAAGAAATCTCCACCCTCTGTTGCAACACTATAGACTTCTTATAGAAGCTCAGCAACCACAGACCAGGCGAACCAGAAACACCCCTTGTCACAATGGATGTTTCAGCACTCTACACCAGCACCCCCCACGATGATGGTGTCACTGCAACAGCCTCAGGACTCAATAACAACTATTGTCAATTTCCAGATGCCATCCTACAACTCATCCACTTCATCCTCGACAACGTCTTCACCTTCAACAACCAGTTCTTCATCCAGACACATGGAACAGCCATGGGGGGGAGCCAAATTTTCACCCTAATATGCCAACATTTTTATGCACAAGTTCAAGCAGGACGTCTTTACTGTGCAGGAACTCTGACCAATGCTATACACCAGATACATTGATGACATTTTTTTCCTCTGGCGAGGAATCACTGAAACAACTACACAACGACATCAACAAGTTTCATCATATTGTCAGACTTACCATGGACTACTCTTCAGAATCGGTCTCATTCTTGGACACACACATCTCCATTAAGGATGGACACCTCAGTACCTCACTCTACCGCAAGCCTATGGATAACCTCACGATGCTGCACTTCTCTAGCTTCCACCCTAAACATGTCAGAGAAGCCATATCCTACGGACGAGTCTTGCATATACACAGGATCAGCTCAGGTGAAGAGGAATGTGAAGGACACCTAAAGATGCTGAAAGATGCCCTCCTAAGAACGGGATATGATGCTCAACTCATTGATCACCAGTTCTGATGTGCCATAATGAAAAACCACAAAGACCTCCTCAGAAGACAGGTACAGGACACGATCGATAGAGTACTCTTCATCGTCCAGTATTCCCCCCACAGTGGAGAGACTACGTCGTGTTCTTCGCAGCCTCCAACATGTTATTGATGACTATGAACATCTCGCCAAGATCATCCCTATGCCTCCACTTATCACCTTCAAACAACTGCCAAACCTTAAACAGACCACTGTTCACAGCAAACTACTCGACCTTCAGGACAACCTTGACCACAATACCACGCAACCCTACCACAGCAACCTCTGTGAGATATATCAGATTATCAACATGGACACTACCATCACACGTGGGAACACCACCCACCACGTACATGGCAGATACTCATGTGACTCGACCAATGAAGTCTACCTTATATGCTGCAGGCAAGGATGCCCCGAGGCCTGGCAGTGAGAACATGCAGACTCTCTGACAATGGATGAATGGACACCACGCAACAAGTGCCAGACAGGAATGTTCCCTCCCAGTGAGTGAACTCATCAGCAAACAAGGAGATTCAACCTCTCATCTTCAAGTAAGCATCTTCCAAGGCAGACTTCGAGATATACAACACACAACAATGCAGAATCGCCGAGTAAAAACCTATAGCCAAGTTCCATAGCCATGAAGATGGCTTCAACCATGATCTTGGGTTCATGTTCCACTACATGTAATTACACCACATTGTTCTGTATCTGGAAAATGTTTCTTACTGCCCTGTTTTGACACCATCACCTTGATAACTTGTTATGATCTCTGTACCTTAATTAGTTTGTACAGTTTTGGAATTACTTGTTACTTTGGTTAGACCCTCGGCATGCGACTCTTATACCTATCATATTATTCCAGCCATTTGGTTTGTCTCCAGCCCCATCTTATTTTTTCAATTTTTTGTAATTATCTCTCTGCCTCAATTAATCAGATTATAGGTCATCCCTTCATTTATTATTCAGCTTCTGACACTTACGCCATCTGATACTTATAATCACCTGCAGAGAATTATTCATTCTGTTGACACTCCACTCACACCATTTGTATGATCTTTTGATCTCTCTTCCTATAAATTCTGAGCTTGTGTGCTTTTCTTCATTTCACCTGATGAAGGGGCAGCGCTCCGAAAGCTTGTGATTTCAAGTAAACCTGTTGGACTATAACCTGGTGTTGTGTCCTTGACTTCTGACCTTGTCCACTCCAGTCCAACACCAGCACATCCACATCAAAATCAATAAAACCATAAATCTTGTCTCTGGGTTTTACGCCCATCCCCGAGGCTCATCGCATCACGCAAATGCAGCTTATGACCTTTCTAGCCTTCACCCTGTCAGTTACGCTGAAACACTTATGCAATGTGGCTTCTCCAAACACAAAGCCAGAAACCACTTTCTCAGCTCCCCTGGGCTTCTTCCAAGTCCTGACTCCAATATTTAGCAGTTTTAGCTAGGATATTGTATCAAGTTTCAGGCACATCACTTCAGGAAGGATAAAAAGCCATTGGATAGAGTACAGAAAAGATTCATGAGAATGGTTACAGGGTCAAGGAACTTCAACACACAGATAAATTGGAGAACTTTCGACTGCTTCCCTTGTGGAAGAGAAGTTGAGAGAAGCTTTGAAAGAGATACTCAAATAATAGCTAGATAGAGTAGACAGCAAAACAAAAGCCCCCACTGGTTGAAGGACCAAGATCCAGAGGGCACAGATTTAAGTGAACTGGCACAAGAAGCTATGGTGACATAAGGAAAGCTATTTTTCAAATTGCCAGGGAGTCTAGTGGAGGCAGGTTCAATTGAGGCTTTCAAGCAGAAATTTATTACATAAAAAGTAAAAGTGTGCACAATTATGGGGAGAAGGCTATGAGTATCTGTGGGTGAATTTTTTTTTCAAAGACCGAGCACAGACACAACAAGCCAACTGGTCTCCTACTGTGTTGTATCCATCCTGTGCATCTAAACACACAATTAATACACCGTGTGCATTTGTCCAACATTTCATGAAGACCTAACGTTTTATGAAAAGTTCTTACCATCAGATTCTGAAGCAGCTCGAAATATCAGGTAACTACTGGGCAGTGGTTGAGTTATGGACCCAACAGTTTCACCTTTAGGACCCTTTAAAACAAAATTACATTCAGTGGAAGACATGACAGGTTCTAAATATTATCTCCATAAAATGTGTACATTTACATCACGTACAAAAATTAAGTCTCTTTTTATGACAATAATATAGATAATGGGGAAAAGCTAAATTGGTGTTAAAAATCAGGAAAGGATAGGATACAGAAGACATAAGATTATTCCCCCACAATTTTGGAGTCTAGACTGAGGGGTTATAGATACAAGAAACAACATTGAAGATTAGCTTGAATGGGAAAAGGCCGAGTAAATGTGATTAAAACTATGTGCTTTCGTGGAAGGTAAAAACCAATACAGAAAGGTCAGGCTATAAAGTCTGCTCCCATAGAGTAGTTCCTCTTTGTTTCTATCCATAGCTTCCTTAAAATAGCAGTGCCTGTTGTTAGTGGAGTGGTGGCTGGTGTCAGGCAAAGCTCAGCACAGCTTTTGTACAGTATTTTGGAATGTAACAATGAATGAAAAAGAACATGGAAACTGAATAGCAATATAAGCATCCTGATGGGCACAACAATTGCCAGTTACAAATAAAAAGAAAATTATTTCCAAATAGTGTGGTCAGCAAATGCATAGGAATACTGTGTTATGGAGATGGTTAGGTCCAAAACCAACCCCTGTTTGTTGATGAATTGGCAGCTCTTCATTGGCAAATGGAGCAGGGATGATGGTGGTCTTATTGTTCCCAGGCTGGGATGGTGCTCGTGAGAGGTGAAATTATCAGTGGTTCCACGTATGTTTGGCAGCAAAAGTGATTCCTTCTGAAAAATGCTTATGCAGTCACTGGACTCAGTTGTGATGCCATTCAGTTGAACAGTACTGCTTCAGCTCTTTTGCCAAAAATGATTAATTGTATCAACTCCATGCCTTAAACCAGAAAACTAGGGGACTTTAGCAGCAGGGAGGGCACGTGGAAGAACTGGCGCTTCAAACCATCAACTTTGCACATTTGCAGAGTAACTTCATGGATTCCTTGCTCATGAAGATAACTCATCAGCTATTTTCTGTCCCTTGCGCAGCAAATAATTTTGGTTAGCTCAGTTAAGTAACTGGTTTAATATCAACTAACTAACTAATTAAATATGCAAGGAGCTCTCTTAGTTCACCGGTACAAGACTTCATTGATTTTAATAGCCAACTGAACCTGCAAGTCTGTGCTCTCCCATCACACAGTTGCATGCATACTATTTTCAGAATTTCCCTTAAATCCAGCGCAATAGCCCACATTGTTGTCAATATGGAACATCATCCAACATTACTGTGCTTTTGGAATGGGGTGGGGTGTCAGATCTGTTTCAGGCCAAAGTTGGAAACTATTTCATGATAAAAGCATTATATTTAAATTTTAAAAAGCAAGTTTTAAGATAAAAGAGGCGCATACAATTCATACGTCAGATTAAGATAATGGGAATGTGAAGCAGGAAAGAATAAATGAGGAGGAAAAACAGGGGAAAACAAATATCTAAAATTTTGAAGCAACCTTCTGATTTAGTGGTATAAAGATAATGTCACAATAACAAAATTATGACGAAACTGAGTAGTTTAACTTTTCTATGTCTGGCCTCATTTCCCATTTGTCTATTTGAACGAGAATGGGTTGACCAAGGAGGCCCGAATCCAGTCCATTTACTGAGCTCTAAACGACTAGGTATCGACCTGTTTATGTCAAGCCAAGCTTCATGTTAAGAATCCAACGCTCAAATAGCCTTTCTTTTTAAAAATTCAAGCACCAATTTAAAACACTGCAGGGAGTTCAAGCACAAAACAGAACCCAGAATTTAACATGCATAGAAGAAGAAAGTCATAAATCTATTAACTTCTCGCTTTGAGTGACAGAACATGCACACATGATAAAGCATAAAATCTTAAGACCAAATTCTGCAGTAATACATTTCAACACCAAATACATCTTGCATCTAAAGATCAGCATTCAGTACTCTGTATTCAGAGAATGGTTTGGGAAACGTATCAGCATGATCAAATGGTGGATCAATAGGCCAAACAGCATAATCCTACTGCTACATGTTATGGTCTTATGATCTTTTAAGAAGAGTAATACAGCCTCCACAAACCTTTACAGCCCAAATAGACTGTTCCAAAGGGTGAAAGACTTTAAAACAAAAGCCGTCCTTCTTTGATGGCCGTTCGATGAGTTCACAAGCATTCAGAAGCACTGTTCCCACCCACTGGCCATTCTTTGGGGTTTTGTAGATCAACAGCACTCCAGGCTTCAGTACACACCATAACTTTGTCCAACTTTTTAAAGTTCCACGAATCTAAAAATTGAAATACATTTTTGTTAAAAAAAAGAGAAAACAAATTTCTCCAGAGAAAGCTGAGTGAATGTACAGATCATTTTTTTTCACTGAAATGACAGTGCAAAGAAAGACGTCAGTTTCATGAATTCAAAATTGCAATACTTCGCCCTAATTTGAAAACAGACAACATTTTGTTTTAATTTATTCATTGGATGTTGGTGTCACTGGCTAAGCTACAATTTATGATTCATCCCAAAAAATGTCCTTAAGAAGGTGATGGTACGCTGCCTTCTTGAACTGCTTTGGTCCATGTGCTGTAGGTAGGTAATTCCAGGATTCTGACACAGCATCACTGAAGGAGCAGTGATGTTGTTCCAAAGCAGGATGGTGAATGGTTTGAGGGGAGGTTGCAGGTGGTGATGATACAGTGTATCTGCTGTCCTTGTCCTTCTAGGTTGAAGCCGAGATTTTGGAAGTGCTGGCGAAGGATCCTTTGTGAGTTACTGCAGTGCATCCTGCAGATGGCATACACAGCTGCCATTGTATATCAGTGGTGAATGGAGTCAATACTCAAACTGATGAATGGAGTGCCAATCAACCATGCTGCTGTGTCCTGGATGATGCCAAGTTTTTGAATATTGTTGGAGCTGCAGTAATCCAGGCAAGTGGACAGCATTCCAACCGACCACTGATTTGTGCCCTGTGGAGGGTAGGCAGACTTTGAGGATTCAGGAGGTGAGGTACTCACCACAGAATTTCTAGCTTTTGACCTGCTCTTGTAAAGAGCTCATAGAACAAGGTTGGTAAAGAGACTAGATAAGCATACAGCAAGTTCCTTTTATATTAAAAAAGACCATAGTTCACAATGTTGCTCATGTTACCTAGCCAGTTTCATTTGGATTGTCTGCGGCATAATAGATCATTTTATAATCCACGAGTATCCAAAAAATACAAATCAAAAACCAAAAAATGCACAAGGCAAATGCTGTAGGGAGAGAAAAGTATTTAAATAGAATTTATGACAATGCAACATGAATTAAATGTAATCCACAGCCATTAAGTGTCTGCTACATGTTTCAGTTGTTAATTTCTATTGAACCTTACATCCCAGTAATTTTGATGACATAACAAAGTTGCTGAGCCATCTTCAAAATGTAAATTATACTTGTACAACAAGGTTCTCTTAATCCTAGTTTAAATGTTTGCAATCTATTTATGAATTAAAATATATGCATTTAAGAAAACATAATATACCTTTATAGATGAAAAACATTGAGCAGTGACAACAATAATTCTTGATATTACAAATTAATAATGTTACCCACTTTCTTTTCCACACCCCCCAGTGTTAATTCCACCAGCACTACTGTTCGAAATGCACTTAAAAGATCAATTACTTTACACAAGTCACTGTTCCACCTATGAATTTGGACTGTATTCAAGGGTTGTATGTTATGGTGTTCATCACAGTATTATCGTTTGAAATTTGCTTTACAGCCATCTGTTATGATGCTCATTGAAACTAACCAATCTGTTCATACATTTAAGTAGAACATTCCTGCTTTGATACACAGCCTTGTGAGCTTGCAATGGTAAGGAAACAAAGGTCTGAAAGAAGCTGGATACATCAGTTTTCTGCAAAATTTTAACATCTCCTAATAGGATGCAGTGTAACTCAGTGGACTGAGGGAAACAATAATCTTGCAATACTGTCTATTGTTGAATTTTGTTTAGATATCAATTTCAGTCACTGCAAAATGTGCAGAACTCTTCTTTTGTGCTTTCAAAATGAATTCTGAAATGCTTTTCATAATCATTCTACAAGACAAAATGTACAAAAAAGAACTTACATTTACTTTTACATGGCAACTCAAACAAGCCTTAACTATAAATTTTACCAATTTTATACACTTATTAAAACTGGTTGCTTACACTCTTACAGATTTTGAAAACATTGCAAATCTGCTTAAGTTTCCAAATATCAGATTGGGATTCACAGAGTACAGATTACCTCACGAATGTGAAAAAGAGATACAAAAGGGAAGAAAATAAGAAACAAAAACAAAGTTGCTGGAAAAGCCCTGCAGGTCTGCCAGCATCTGTGAAGGAAAAAACAGTTAACATTTCAGGTCTGGTGACCCTTCCTCAGAACAATCCGCAGTTCTTCCAGTTTTTATTTGGAAAAAAATAAGAGACAGGTTTGCAAACAGGTGAACAGAAATGAACACATGGTTTTTATTTTATATGACATTCCAAGAGAAATCGCTCTCCACAAGAACCCTGTGGCTTTGTGACATAAACGTCAGTGGGTTGGTACGATTGCATTAGCAGAAGATTGCTGACTCATTAATAGGAAGCTCTCAAACCCAAAATATCCACTCAGTGTTTCACAGAATCTTCCTGTTATAGCACAGAAAATGAACTCAGCAGACCGACTTAATAACAACAATATGTCGTCAAATTCTCCTTTTCAAGAACGTAAGAACTAGGAGTAGGAGTAGGAGTAGGCCGTCTGGCCCTTCGAGCCTGCTCCGCCATTCAATAAGATCATGGCTGATCCTTTCGTGGACTCAGATCCACTTACCCGCGTTCTCACCGTATCCCTTAATTCCTTTATTGTTCAAAAAAAATCTACTTTTTTTTAAAAACGTTTACTGAAGTAGCGTCAACTACTTCACTGGGCAAGGAATTCCATAGATTAACAACCCTCTGGGTGAAGAAATTCCTTCTCAGTTCAGTCCTAAATCTGCTCCCTCTAGTCTTGAGGCTATGCTCTCTTGTCCTCGCTTCACCTGCCAGTGGAAACATCCTCTCTACTTCTATCTTATCTATCCCCTTCATAATTTTATATGTTTCTATAAGATCCCCCCTCAATCCTCTGAATTCCAATGAATATAATCCCAATCTACTTAGTCTCTCCTCATAAGCCAACCCCCTCAACTCCGGAATCAACCTAGTGAACCTCCTTTGCACCCCCTCCAGTGCCAGTACATCCTTTCTCAAGCAGAGAATTTTCCTATAGAATTTTCAAAACCTAAAAGTTCACAAAAACCTTAAAAGAAATTTGCCACTATGTGCGAGGCAATGGAAGATAAAAGGATAAATGTTATCATGTTTGAGTTTGAGGGAAATAAGTCAGATAGGATCCAGGGGAATAAAAAACAGAATAAGGAATTGAGGAGCAACAAAATAAGAATGAAGGTTTTGTTGTTTTTCAATTCAGTACAAAAGCAGATCAACCATTTCCATAGCTTTATTACTGTCTGTATGTTATTCAACATCAGTACCTGAACAGAAAGTCCAAAATAAAAATCCCTGGGAAGACAGGAATTTGTAACAATCAAGTGAAAAATTCAGCGTTTAAAACTAAACGTTCCTATGCATTTGTTGCTCTTTTTTGTGTTGGTGGTAATGGTTACAAGTTTGGAAGGTGCTGTTGAGGTAGCCTTGCTGAGGTGCTAAAGTGTGTCTTGTCGATGGTATACACCACTGTCTGTACTCCAGTGAAGGCAGGAGTGAATGGCTAAGGTGTCAGATGGAGTGTCAATAAAGCTGGCAGTTTCATCTTGGATGGTCTTGAGTTTATGAGTGTTCATAGTATCATAGAATCCCTACAGTGTGGAAGCAGGGCATTTGGCCCATCGAGTCCACACCAACCTCCAAAGACCATCCCACTCAGACCTATCCCCCTACCCTATCCCATAACCTGCATTTCCCATGGCTAATCCACCTAACCTACACATTCCTGGACACTATTGAGAAATTTAGCATGGCCAATCCACCAAACCTGCACATCTTTGGACTGTGGGATGAAACTGGAGTACCGGAGAAAACGCACACATGGGGAGAACGTGCAAACTCCACATGGACAGTCTCCCGAGGTTGGAATCGAACCCGGGTTTCTGGTGCTATGAGGCAACAGTGCTAACCACTGAGCCACTGTGCGGCCACAGTTATTGAGTGTTATTGAAGCTCTACTCATCCATGCAAGTGGAAAGCATTCCATTACATCCTGACTTATGCCTTGTAGATGGTGGACAACTTTGAAGAGTCAGGAAGTAAAGCAGTCATCACAAAATTCCTAGTGTTCAACCTGCCCTTGTATTTGTGCTGATCCAATTATAGTTTCTGGTCAATGGCAACACCAAAGGATGTTGATGATATGGGATCTGGCATTGGTAATGTCACTGAATATGAAGCGATAACGGTTAGATTTTCTCACGTTGGCAACAGTCATTGCCTGGCACTTACATAACAAAAATGTTACTTGCCACTTAGCCCAAGCCTGAAGTTTATCCAAATATTAGTGCATGCAGGCACAAAATTTCTTAACAGCACTAAGGATGTACCTACAGCACAAGGACTGCAGCAGTTTAAGAAGGCAGCTCACTGACCGCATTTTCCCGAACAATTGGGGATGGGACAATAAGTGTTGGTTTAGCTAGTGATATCTTCAATCTCTTGAATAGATTTTAAAAAAAGTTTCAATAACAAGAAGAGATAACAAAGTGTGGAGATAGAGGAACACAGCAGGCCAGGCAGCATCAGAGGAGCAGGAAAGTTGATGTTTCGGGTCTAGACCCTTCTTAAGAAATGGGCAGTGGGAAGGGAGCTCAGAAATAAATAGAGAGAAGAGGGGTGACACTGGGAAGGTAGGTGGGATGGTGATAGGTGAGTGCAGGTAGGGAGTGGTGGGGATTAGTCAGTGGGATGGGTGGGGCCGATAGATGGGAGAGAGGATGGATGTGAATAGCAAGAGAATAGAGGGATACAGATCCTGTAAGTCAAGACAGTTCTAATATCGTAGGGCAGAATGTGTTGGTGCAGGCTTGGAGGGCCGAAGGGCCATTATTGTGCTGTATTGTCCTTTGTTCTGTTTCACCTTTGCTGGATTCTGAATTTATCCCAGTGTTCGAGGCTATCATCGACTCTTGCCCCCTTATCTGCTTTTGCTTGCAAATTAATGGTCACCTTAATTTCCTTGGTTAGCCCTGGTAGGTTTTTCCCTCTGTTCGAATCTTTCCTCCTTACTGGGGTGTATTTTTGCTGGGAGTCATGAATTACCTCCTTAAATGCTTGCTTACTGTCATTCCTGCTAATCATCAGCCCAGTTTACTTCATCTAACTCTATCCTCATTTCATCATAATTCCCTTTATTTATGTTAAACACAGTTGTTTCCAAGTTTCTCACTCTTGAACTGAATGTTAAAATCTATCATGTTATGATCACTACTTTAGAGAGAATCTTTTATTCAGAGGTCATTTATTAAACCTGCTTCATTACCCATTACCAGATCCAAGACAGCCATATCCCTGCTGACTCCATGACAATTATCCTAATAAGCCTATGGGCTTATTAGTGATAGGCAGCATGGTTTTGTGCAGGGAAGGTCATGTTTTAACAACTTGATAAAATTCTTTGAGGAAGTGACAAAGTTGATTGGTGAGGGAAGGGCTGTGGATGTTGTATACATGGACTTCAGTAAGGCATTTGATAAGGTCCCCCATGGTAGGCTGATGGGAGAAAGTGAAGTCGCATGGGGTCCAGGGTATACTAGCTAGATGGATAGGGAACTGGCTGGGTAACAGGAGACAGAGAGTTGTAGTGGAAGGGAGTTTCTCAAAATGGAGAACTGTGACCAGTGGTGTTCCACAGGGATCTGTGTTGGGACCACTGTTGTTTGTGATATACATAAATGATCTGGAGGAAGGTATAGATGGCCTGATTAGCAAGTTTTCAGATTACAGTAAGATTGGTGGAGTAGCAGATAGTGAAGGGGACTGTCAGAGAATGCAGCAGAATGTAGATTGGAGAGTTGGGCGGAGAAATGGCAGATGGAGTTCAATGCAGGCAAATGCGAGGTGATGCATTTTGGAAGATCCAATTCAAGAGCGAACTATATGGTAAATGGAAAAGCCCTGGGGAAAATTGATGCAGAGAGAGACCTGGGTGTTCAGGTCCATTGTACCCTGAAGGTGGCAACGCAGGTCGATAGAGTGGTCAAGAAGGCATACGGCATGCTTTCATTCATCGGACGGGGTATTGAGTACAAGAGTTGGCAGGTCATGTTACAGTTGTATAGGACTTTGGTTCGACCACATTTGGAATACTGCGTACAGTCCTGGTCGCCACATTACCAAAAGGATGTGGATGCTTTGGAGAGGGTGCAGAGGAGGTTCACCAGGATGTTGCCTGGTATGGAGTGCGCTAGCTATGAAGAGAGGTTGAATAGATTCGGATTATTTACATTAGAAAGACAGAGGTTGAGGGGGAACCTGATTGAGGTCTACAAAATCATGAGAGGTATATACAAGGTGGATAGCAAGAAGCTTTTTCCCCCAGAGTAGGGGACTCAATTATTAGGGGTCACGATTTCAAGGTGAGAGGGGAAAAGTTTAAGGGAGATATGTGTGGAAAGTTCTTTATGCAGAGGGTGGTGGGTGTCTGGAACGCGTTGCCAGCGGAGGTGGTAGAGGCGGGTACGATAGCGTCATTTAAGATGTATCTAGACAGATAGATGAATGGGCACGGAGCAGAGAGATACAGATCCTTGGAAAATAGGCGACAGGTTTAGATAGAGGATCTGGATCGGCGCAGGCTTGGAGGGCCGAAGGGCCTGTTCCTGTGCTGTAATTTTCTTTGTTCTTTGTTCTATCCCTTATGCCCTCCCCGAGTTCGTTGTCATAGCTACCCTTTCCAATCTGATTAATCTAATCAATGTGAAGATAAAAGTCACCCATAATTGTTGCTCTATTCTTTTTAAATACTTCTGTTATTTGTGTTTTATAGCCTTTCCCACAGCATGGCTACTGTTTGGGTGTCTGTAGACTGCTCCTCCCAATGTTGTCTTTCTCTTGCTGTTTTTTGTTACCCCCCCACCCAAATGGGACTCTACATCATCCAAACCTGGATCATCTCACACAACTGTCCTCATTTCAGCTTTAATTAACAGTGCTACCCCAACACTTTTTCCATCTCTCCTGTCACTCCAAAAGATCAAATATCGCTGAAAGTTAAGTTCCCAGTTTTGATCTCTTTGTAACCATGCTTTTATAATAGCTATGAGATCATTCATTTACCTTAATTTGTGCCATCAGTTTATCTACCTTATTCTGAAGGCTTCATGCATTAAGATACAAAGCATTTAAGCTTGTTCCACTATCGAATTTCTCCACAATTTTTTAGAACATAGAATGTAAAACTGTACATCATACGAACGGGGCCCTTCAGCTCACAATGATGTGAACATGACACGAAATGAAACTAATCCCTGCTGATGCCCTTGGTCCCTATCCCTCCATTCCTTGCATATTTGTCTGCTTATCTGAAAGTCCCTTACATACCCTTATTGTAACTACCTCTATCACCACCCCAAGCAGTGCGTTCTGCGCTCCTACCACATTCTGTGTCAAAAAAAACCCTGCCCCTCCCATCTCCTTTGAACTTGTCCCTCTCACTTTAAATGTATACCTCATGGTATGAGACATTTTAACTCTGAGGAAAAATATTATAAACGTCTGTGCATCTCACATTTTTATAAACTACTATCAAGTGTCCCCCCAGCCTCCGCTGCTCAAGAGAAAACAACCTGAGTTTTTCAAGCCTCACCTTATATCTCATCCAATTACCCTCTAATCCAGGCAGCATCTTGATACATTTTCTGAAGAAGGGTCTAGGCTCAACGTCAGCCTTCCTGCTCCTCTGATGCTGCTTGGCTTGCTGTATTCATCCAGCTCTACACCTTGTTATCTCAGCATCCTGGTAAACCTCTTCTGTACCCTATCCAAAGCCTGTAATGTGACAACCAGAATTGAATGCAATACTCTTAAGTGTGGCCTATCCAAAGTCTTACAAAGCTGCAACATGACATCCTGACTCTTGTACTCAATTCCTGAACCAATAAAGGTAAGAATACCATACGCCTTCTTCACCACCCATCTACTTGTGTGGCCACTTTCAGGGAGCTATGGACTTGAACCCCACGATCCTTTTGTACATCACTGCAGTTCAGAGTCCTGCCGTTAACTGTATACTTTTCCTTAACATGTGATCTCCCAAAGTGCGAACCTCACAGTTACCTGGATTAATCTCCATCTGCCATTTCTTTGCCCATATCTGCAACTGATCTATATCCCTCTGTATCTTTTGACAACCTTCTACATTAGCTGCAAGTCCACCAATCTTTGTATTGTTTGCAAACTTATTAACCTGCCCATCTACGTTTTCATCCATCAAAGTCATTTATACATAACACAAACAGCAGAGGTCCCAGTATGGATCTCTGCAGAATACCGTTAGTCATGGACCTCTAGCCTGAAAAACACCTTTTCAATATTACCCTGTGCCTTCTATGGTCAAGCCAATTCTGAATCCACAAGGCTAAGTCACTGTGGATCCCATGCATCTTAATCTTCTGGATGAACCTACCATGAGGGACCTTGACAAAAGCCTTATTAAAGTCCATGTAAACAGCATCCACTGCTGTACCCTCATGGATCACCTTTGTCACCTCCTTGAAAAATTCAATCAAGATAGTAAGACATGACATGCCCTGCACAAAGCCATGCCGACCGTCCCTAATTAGGCCATGCTTTTCCAAATGTACATAAATCGTATTCCTAAGAATTCTCTCCAGTCGCTTCCCAACCACTGATGTGAGACTCACCAGTCTATAGTTTGCGAGGTTATCCCTATTTCCCTTCTCGAAAAGAGGAACAACATTAGCTAGCGAGGATACAAAGATCTTGGTCAAGGCCCCAGCAATCTCTACTCTTGCCTCTCAATAACCTGGAGTAGGTATCATTGGGCCTGGGAAGTATCCACCTTAATGTTCTTCAGGAGACTCGACACCACTTCTTTTTTAACCTCAAAATGCCCTAGATTATTAGCATGCTCCACAGTAATCTCACTACCCTCCACATCCTTTTCCTGGGTAAATACTGACACAAAGTACTTATTTAGGATCGCACCCACATTCTCTGCCTCCAAGCACAAGTTCCCTCCTTTATCTTTATCTTTGAGTGGTCCTACCTTCTCCCTAGTTATCCTCTTGTTTTTAATTTATCTGTAGAATGCCTTGGATTTCTCTTTAATCCCACTTGCCAAGGTCATTACATGCCCCCTTCTTGCTCTCCTATTTCCCTGCTTGAGTTCGTTCCTGCTATCTTTATATTCCTCATGGGCCCTGTCTGATTTTAGCTTTCTACACCTTACATATGCTTCTTTTCTCTCTTTTGACTAAATTCACAACCTCCCTCATTATCCAGGGATCCCTTACCTTGCCATTCTTTTCCTTCCTTCCTCACTGGAAAATGCCAGTCCTGAACTCTGATAAGTAGGTCTTTGAACACTTCCCGTCTGTCAAATGTTGACAAGCCTGGTGACAGCCCCTCCCAATCAGCCCTCCCCAGCTCCTGTCTAATACTGGTGTCATTTGCCCTCCCCCACATTAGTACCTCCCTGCAAAGTCCTACAGTATCCTTGTTCGTAGCTATCTTAAAACTTGAGGAATTGTGATCATTGTTTCCAAAATGCTCTCCCACTGAAAGGTCAGTCACCTGGCCAGGCTCATTAACCAATACAAGGTCCAGTATGGCCCTCCTTTAGTTGAACTATCCACCGTTTCAAGAAACCCTCTTGGATGAGCTTAACAAATGCTGCCTCATCTAAGCTCTTGCTCTAAGGAAGTCCCAGTCAATATTGGGGAAGTTAAAGTCACCCACAATGATGACTCTGTTTTTATTGCACCCTTCCATAAACTGCCTAAATATTTGTTCCTCAGGGTCTAGGTGGCTGTTGGGAGGGCCTGTAGAATAATACTATCAGAGTGATTGCACCCATCTTATTTTGAGCTGTACCATATTGCTTTAGTGGATGACCCCCCATGGTTCCTTGGTACAATATGACATTATACATCCTGTCATTTCCTTTTATTTTCTGGCAACAAACAAACCCATCACTGACCTGAAATTCTATCTTCTCCTTGACCTTTGATTTTATAATCTTCCATGCAACTAAACCCTCCGCCTCCAATTCAATTTGAAACCTCATCTACAACCTTGTTATGTGATTTACCAGGACTCATCCTAGCATGATTCAGGTGGAACCTGCTCTGTTGGAGCAGCGCTCTCCCTCCCCAGTACTGATGCCAATATCCCATTCATTTGAATTTGTTTATTCAAAGCCAATCTTTCAGCTATGCAGTTACCTCTTCAATCTTGTTGACCCTGTGCCAATTAGTTCATGGCTTGTAATCTGGAGATTGTTGCCTTTGTGGTTCTGCTTTTTAATCTAACTCCTTGCTGTTTGTATTACCTCAGCAGATTATTATTCCTCTTTTTAACCTATGTTGTTGGTGCCTATGTGGACCATGACAACTGGATCTTTCCCTCCCACTTCAGGTTCCTCTGCAGCCCAGATGAGATATCCTGAAACCAGGTAGGCAATATAGCCTTCAGGACTCTCGATCCCACCTACAGAGAACATTGTCTATCCCGCTGACTACAATGATATTGCTCTTTTCTTCCCCACCACCCCTTCTTGAATGGCTCCCTGTACCATTGTGCTTTGATCAAATTTACTCATCTTCCCTATAACCCCTGCTCTCATCTACAAAGGGAGCAAGAATCTCAAACTTGTTAAACCATCTTGAGGGCTGAGGTTCCTTTAGCACTGCCTCCTGGAACCCTCTGAAGTAGCAAGAACTGCAGATGCTGGAGTCAGAGTCGATACAGTGTGGAGTTGGAGGAACACTGCAGGTCAGGCAGCATCAGAGGAGTAGGAAAGTAGATGTTTCGGGCTTAGACCCTTCAATCAGGACTGGAACCCTCTTCCTGCCTCACATCATCACACCCTCCCATCCCTGACCACTGAGTGAATTAGAGGTAGTTAATCTAAAAAGTGTGACTGCCTTTTGAAACACAACATCCGTGTAACTCTTCCTGTTCCTGATATGTCACAGTGTTTGAAGCTCGGACGCCAGCTCAGCAACTCTGAGCCGGAGTTCCTGAAGCAACCAACACTTCTTACAGATGTAGTCATTGTGACCCCCAGTGGAGTCCACCAGCTCCCATATCATGCAGGTACAACACATTGCCAGGCCCTGCATCTCTGTTTTGTTTACTTAGTTCTTTGATATTTTAAAAATAATTCCTATTGTCTTTCAGTGTATAATCTATAAATATTTCTCCTATTTACCATCAATCTGAAAGTATCCAATAATAGTCAAATTGACAGCAATGACCAATCAATGAATTTGTGGTTTTTTTGTTATGTCACTCTTTGCTTTGTGCTTGGCCACCGATCCTGAGCTTCAATTTGTTCTGTCAAAAAGACTTTAAAAACTACGAACCACAAAAGCAAGCAAAAAAGCACCTTTTCCCCCTTGCACCAAATCCCACACTACTCTGAAATCCCCAAACTATATACTTACTGGGGCTGTGTCTTATTTTGGATGTGATCGTTTCCCCCTGGCCTCTTGCTTATTAGTCTTAATTGAACCCAGAAGGCCTAAAGGATGCAAACCTTCGTCGTTCTGAGATCCCAAATGACCACCTTATCATAACAAATGATTTTCTTTCACACTCGATTCTGAATTGTGAGAAGGATAACCTAATTTGTTTTGGTTATGGAAGAAATGAACTTGTTTGTTAAATCTATGTTTTCTCATGTGTATGATTTTTTAAAAAGTAAACAATATAGTTCAATAGTGCAGTTGGTTCTTGCAGTGCCCGTGTTTATCATGAAACTGAAAGGTTTTATTTTTGTAAATTAAATAGTGCGGTGGGAATGCAGGATTTGACTATTTCTGATAAAAGATGCATTTTGTTGAAGCTTTTTGTTTTGCACTCAGCAAGACAATTTGCAAGAATACCAAGAGTGCTGATTATAATTGGTAGAGATGCTAATATTTTTGTATTTCCTTGCAGCGCTCTGTGTAATGGCTCAGTCACAAAACAAAATTTGACAAATTTTCATAAGCTGACAATGACTTCATTGATTGAAGCAGTGACTGTTTCAGCTGAACAGGCCAATAAAATTTGAGTTTCAATATCTTTTCTAATTGATTATTAGTTGCTATTGGTGTAAAGTAGTTTGAAACACTCAAGTGGAACCCCATACTGCAATCAATTCAGTTTTCAAGTTGAGTTGATCCAAAGTCGTAAATTATAATAATGCATGAAAATACAACTTGACCACTTGGTCCATTTACTGACATTTATATTTAAATCATTTTTAGAACTACTGTGCATAACTAATCTAATAGAAATTGATGTAACTGTTATAAAGGTAATATTTTTGTGGTTCTGTATTGATCAGATTTATTTTAATAATGTTAACACTCATGAGTATATTCATCTGTAAATTAACCAAGTACTTTGCACTCTTAAAATGTAATATGCATATTTACGCAGGATAATTTATTAAATTGTACCTAGAATTCTTCATGCATGATGGTAATATGGAATAAAATGTATTCTTTTAGTTTTGAGATAAATTGCTTTAGTTATGTAGTGTATTTGTCGATTCTAGTGTAGTTCACAGCAGACAAAAATATTCCAGTCTCGAAGTGTGATAAGCTATTTGTTATTAGATATGCATCTTTCTAGATTTGTCTTGAAATTTTTGGTTTTTAGAAAACAACAAGGTTGCTGACTTGGAAACTTTTTTTTGTCTATGACAACTTCAGTAGCAAATAACGATGAAACTCAGCCAGTGACACCAGGAAAAATGAGTCTGCGCCAGGGAAGAGAAGCATTACATCCTCAAACTAAAGAGTTAGTCCATTCATCGCTCAGTCCTGGAATTGGCAGCAATCATGGTAAGAATGGCTGACTACACTTATGCAGTTTAACAGTGTATGCATTGCTGCACAAGTATCGAGTAAGCTCTTTACCAAATTGTGCTATTTACACTTGAAGGATATCTCCGCAAACATTGTTCTGATTCAATGTGCTTCAAAGGATTGTCATTCTTGAGTTCATTATTTTGTTCTCCCAGAAAATTTGTCATTGGCCATAGGAGGGGTGTAATCTTTGTATCACAAAAACACAACTTTATATTCTCTGCTTGTCTGTTCCATTCATCGCTGTCACTTATTTTGCTGCAGAAATAGTTTTGAAATGATCCTCCTTAAGTACAAAACCTTACTGCAAAACATGACACGCTGTAGGAAATTTGGCTAGTGTTTCTAGCATTACAACAACGGCAGCAGCTTAAAAACATTTTAATTGTATGGAAAGCAGTTTGAGGTTTGGGGTAGGAAAAGGTTCCAGGTAAATGCAAATTTTTTTCAAGATGTGTTTGTGTGTTTTGCTACCTAGAATTCAGGAGCCATTTTTGTTAATGAAGAGAGTGTTGTGTGTCATAAGTTAAAAAAGTAAGACTTGATTACACATAGAATTGCTAAATTTGGAAATTTGAGGTTTACTTTAAAAATAATTAACAATTTTACAGATAATGTGCTGTCTAGGAGCAATGGAATAATGATGGAAGTAGAGACAAAATTGCTGCAGGTTGTAAATGTTCATTGATTTACTAAGGATAGGCTAGAAGTTGTGGACTAGAAAAACTGAATTTTTTTTCTTTTAAAAACTAGAAGTTAAGAGATTTAGTTTTTAAAATTGAGTGTTCTTGTTCAAATAAAGTATAATAATTCTGCAGGGAAATAGCTTAACTTTGTAGTAACTGTTTATAGAATTATGCAGGTAGATAAGTCAATATAGAAACTGGAGCAATTGTTGTTTTTATTAGAGATGTTGAACATTGGTAGAAATCTTTTCAAGACCATGCTTTTTACATGATATTTTCATAGATCGTTGACATAGTATGATTTGAATTGTTGAATTGAACTAGAAAAGTGTAACTCGTGACTGTTTGCCGTGGTCTGATCTGTATGTTCGAAATTCGATACGTAGTATGTTACAATTGTACACTAGTATATTCATTAAGTTCCTGTTGCCAAATTCAGAAATAATCAAAAATGAGACGCTTCAGTCGCAAGATCAAATGAAACTTTTGATTTTTATCATTCAAAACATTTTTTTAACTCTAATATTTTTGTTTCAATCACTAGTCTTCCAGATTTTACATTGGGCATGATTTTGTTTTTGTAATCTGGAGGTGCTACAGATGCACTGGCATTTGTTGCAGTGACTTAAAGATGATGAGTAGTTCTATATAAAAGCAAAGTACTATGGATGCTGGAGGCCTGAAATAACAAAAGAACGTGCTGGAGCAACTTGACTCTAACAGCAAATGTGGAGTGAGAAACTGAATTAATATTTCAAGTCCAATATGACTCTTAGGAAGTGTACCTGTCGTAAACAGAGTAATTAGTAATCCTTTCATAAAAGATATTTTGTGGAAATATACTCAAAATAAGATAGAATTGGAATTTGAAAGTGTTGTGGCTAAGTTTGCAGATATTTCTGAATCAGCCTGTTCAGATGTTATGACACAACTCTGGAACAGGTAGGACTTGAGTCTGGGCCTTCTGGCCAGATGTAGGGACATTACCACTGCACCATAAGAGTCCCATGATCTTGGATGGAAACAAAGCTAATTGCATACGTATGAAGTACAGTTTAGCTTAATTAAATAAGTAATTTGATAAGCAATGGCAAACATATGAAGAGCTAATTAAGAACTTTCAACTGACATGTATTGCATTGAACAGTAAAAATTCCACTGGAAACTAGTGAAACTAAAGATGGGATTAGATTTTTAAAAAGGCCACAACTCTGTCAAAGAGCAGTAAGCTTGACACACACAGAGTGAATAGAGATCAGTAAGGCATATCAAGAAACTTGGATCAGAAGCAACTGTGCTAACCTTAAATAAGGGTAATTTAAAGGAATCGGCCTTGAGTAGAGTTGCCTTGACAGGACTGGGAAAGGGGTTTAGCAGAAAAGACAGTTGCAGAACAGATGTTTAAGAATATAATTCATGACTCACAGCAAAGATATATTCCAGTGAGGAAGAAGGCTGCTAGGAAGTGGATAAGCCAACCACAATTTAACAGGGAAATTAAACACAGCACCAAATTGAATGAAAAAATATGTGTAACAAAGATTCCTGATGAGCCAGACAATTGGGAAAGTTTTAAAATGAACAAAAGATGACCCAATTAAGAGGTAGAAAATCAACTTTGGGGATAGGCTTGCAAGCAATACCAAGAGATTCTTCAAATATGTGAAAAGAAAGAGAGAGATCAAAATGAACATTGGCCCCTTTGAGAATAAGGTTACGAAAATAATAGTGAAGAACCAGGAAATGGAAGAGGATGAATAAATATTTTGCATCATTCTTCATGGTAGAAGATGCTAAGTCATTTCAAAAATATTTGATAATTAAGAGACTAAAGTAGAGTAGAAAATAAGCGCAAGAACTATGAGGGAAACTAATGGGGCGAAAGGCTGACAAATCTCCTGGACTTAATGGGATGTGTTCTAGGTTAATAAAGGAAGTAGCTGCAGAGAATGTGGATGCACAGCTTGTAATCTTTGAAGACTCCTTAGATTCTGGACATGTCCCAGATTATTGAAATCTGCCAGTGTAACACCCTTACTCCAAAGTGAGGAAGACAAAAAAAAGATAACTGTACAACAGTTTCTTAACATCTGTTATTGGAATTAATATTAGTGTCTATTATAAATGAATCCTTTGATGCATTCATGGGCATGAGCGCGTGAACAGTGAAGAGTTATTTCTGTGGGTCTGCAGTCACATGTAGGCCAGACCAGGTAAGGGTGGCAGTTTCCTTTCTTAATGGGTATTAGTGAACCAGATGGGTTTTTCCTGACAATCAGCAATGGATTTATAGTGTTCATTACACTCTTAATTCCAGATATTTATTGAATTCAAATTCCACCATCTGCTGTGGTGGGATTCGAACTGGGCCCCCAGAACATTATGTGGGTCTCTGGATTAACAGTCCAGCGATAATACCATGAGGCCATCGCCTCTCCTGAATAGTGAGAGTACAGTATTTATAAATTCATGATCTAATTAAGCAGAGTTACTTGAGAAAGTGTCACACAAAATTAGGGCTTTCAGAATTGAGTATTAGTTAATGGAAAGAAAACAGAATAGGAGTGAAGTAATCATTTTCAGATTGAAAACTTGAAGCGAGTGGGATGCCAGAAGGTTTGACCTATTTAAGTCAAAGACTTAAGTGAAAAGACCAAGTGTAATGGAACCAAGCTGAGTCTTCAAATTTTGGCAGTTTTGGATAAATAGCTTGGGTGAAGGGACAAAAGATTTGATTGTCAAATTTGCTGATGAAGCAAAGAGAGATGGGAAACTGTTGTGAAGAGGACCAAAGGATACTACAAAGAAATATCGATAGATGAGCGAGTGGACAAATTATCTGGTAAATAGAATACAATTTGCAAAATGTGAGAGACAATAAACTGCAGATGCTGGCTCCAAGTTAGACAAACAGGTAGCTGGAAGAACACAACAAGCCAGACAGCATCTGGAGATCTAAATGCAGAGCCTCCATCTGATCCGTTGGTTGTGGGATCACTTAGCTCTGTCTATCATTTGCTGCTTCAGCGGTTTGACGTGCAAGTAGTCCTGTTTGGTGGCTTCACCAGGTTGACACCTCATTTTCTTGTATGCCTGGTGCTGTTCCTGGCATGCCCTCCTGCAGTGTCCATTGTACCAGGGTTGATACTCTGGCCTGATGGTCATGGTTGAGTGGGGGATATGCCAGGTCATGAGGTTACAGATTGTGCTGGAGTACAGTTCTGCAGCTGTTGATGGCCCACAGTGCCTCATGGGTGCCCAGTCTTGAGTTGCTAGATCTGTTCAAAGTCTGTCCCATTTAGCACGGTGTTAGTGCCACAACACGATGGAGATTATCCTCAATGTGAAGGCGGGACTTTGTCTCCACAAGGACTGTGTGGTAATCACTCTTACCGATACTGTCATGGACAGATGGGTCTGCAGCTGGCGGATTAGTAACGATGAGGTCAAGTATGTTTTTCCCTCTTGCTGGTTCCCTCACCACCTGCCGCAGACCCAGTCTAGCAGCTATGTCCTTTAGGACCCGACCAGCTCGATCAGTAATACTGCTGCTGAGCCACTCTTGGTGGTGGATATTGAAAGCCCCCACCCAGAGTACATTTTGTGCCATGGCCATCCTCGGTGCTTCCTCCAAGTGTTGTTTGACATGGAGGAATACTGATTCATCAGCTGAGGGAGGATGGTGTGCGGTAATCAACAGGAGGTTTCCTTGTCCATGTTTAACCTGAAGCCACGAGACTTCATGGGATCTGGAATCAATGTTGAGGACTCCCAGAGTAACTCCCTCATGACTGTTTATCACTGTTCCACCACCTCTGCTGGGTCTGCCCTGCTGGTGAGACAGGACATATCCAGGGACAGAGATGGTGATGATGGTGTCTGGGACATTGTCTGTAAGGTATGATTCTTTGAGTATGTCTTTGTCAGGCTGTTGCTTGACTAGTCTGTGAGACAGCTCTCCCAATTTTGGCAGCAACCCCCAGATGTTAGTGAGGAGGGCTTTGCAGGGTCTGATGGGATGTTTTTGCTGTTGTCTTTTCCGGTGCCTAGGTCGATGCCAGGTGATCCGTCCGGTTTCATTTCTTTGAGATTTTGTAGCAATTGGTACAACTAGGCCATTTCAGATGGCAATTGAGAGTCAACCACATTGCTGTGGGCTTGGAGTCACATATCGTCCAGACCAGGTGAGGATGGCAGATTTCCGTCCTTGGAGGACATTGGTGAACCAAATGGGTTTTTCCGACAATTGACAGTGGTTTCGTGGGCATTGGTAGATTCTTAATTCCTGAT